AGCAACTAGTAAGCAGTGGTCTTTATATGACACACAGAATAACTTTTGCGGTGGTTATTCAACCTGCTCTTCAACTGCCTCCGAAAACTAAGGTACTGTAGGCTGCTCTTTTGCTATTTAATTAGTTTCCGTTATCTGAGTGTTCATAGTCAACGTTGTCAGAAAATAACTTATGATTGTTACCCAGATGTCGCTCATGTAGTTTATTGATATTTCTGGTAGTAAGCGGAGCTTGTTGAGCATGATCTTGGAAAAAGGCCGAGGGCTGCTCTTTTGGCTTTGTTTTTCACGCATCTCTATACCCAACCAAGGATCCTGTTCATGGATTAAGACGGACCTTATAGAACGTTTTCACTCTCGTAGCCAGCGTCTATGAAAATGTCTTGGAAAAAAGAAAGCTTTTACGTAAGAAAGGAGTTTAATTCCCACAGGATTTGTTTGGAAGACCAACATGGCCGCTGTTTCATTGTTATTGCCGCCGTGACGTCATGTGAAAACGCTATATAGTTCAAGTATCTTGCACCAGCGCGTGAGCGGGATTATTTGATACCCCCCCTTCCCCCAATTTAAGCCTGCTTTAAACCATAGTCTCTTCTTTAAAAGGGCATTTATATAGCTTCCCACGGGTCCACCAGGGCTCGTTATCATCCAGCAAAGCCAGAAGTTTTGAATCAATATCGTTACCCTTTCTTCTTGTAGGATGACAAGTTAGTGGAGGAAATTTTCGGCTTGGACTGTCTGCACTTTTCAGCACAGGGCCATGCGGCAGCAGCTCTAGCCTTATGGAGAAACATGGTATGGTATTATCTAAAAACCACGCCTATGCTCTTTTCTGTCTATGCTTTCCTCTTTCTTTACTTTCTTTTATAGAGATAGAAATTCTACAAGTAATATTACTAATTTGATGTCTTAAAAGCGTTAAGTGTGGAAGGGAGTTTTCTTATAGGCTGTGGGGTCAAGCTTCCTACGGAAGCATGTTTATAACATGTAACATGTTCCTTTATCCATTGTTTGTAGTTGGAGCCGTTTGGTTCTAAAACAAAAGGCTCGGGAGATCAAGAAAATCTCAAGTGTCCCACAAAGGTTTGTTTCAAACTGTACCAGATTTTTCAGTTGACTTAATTCATGTCCAAAACAAATGGTCTTGTCTCAATGTAGTTAATCAGTTAAAAGTCAGCGTAACTGTTGTCATTCTGACGATTTGTCCAAATGTAGCCGTTTACCGCTCCACTAGAGCAGGTAAACGCCTCTTTATAAAAGCTGGCACTTCCACTGTTTATGTTAAGTAAAAAGTACGGACATCTCTGTAATGCAGACACTTGGCTCTTCCATGGTATAGGGCGGACTATTATTTTGTAACTTTATGTTTTCAGAAAAACCCACACTTATTCACCAAAACAAACACTAAAACTGTTATGAGTGAACTGATCAGTGACGATGATCAGGACTCCGCCACAGATGACTTCCCTCCGGCCGCCGCTGTAGCGTTAGCTGTGTGTTTAACGGCTGTTGTGGTGATTGTTGTTGTTTTTGTGTGGAGAACCCGGAAGTCAAGACGAAGACCAGAAGCAAGAAAACTTCTCTATGCTTCCGGACCACACAAACCAAGGATTTGAACCTGCCCAGAGCTTGCTTCAGTCCTCGTGGGAGCAGGCGATGTAAAGAGGAGGAGTAGGTGTTGAATCAAGCGCTTCTCGCGCTCTGCGTTCTCTCCTTACTTCTCACGCACCTACAACGCCCACGAAAGTGAGAAATCCTGAAAACAAGAAAGCTTATTATAGAGTCATTATTGCCTCTACACTTACGTTGTATATTTTAATCCAACTGTCTGCCATTTCTATAAATCAACAGTGATGTTAAACGATAAAATTCACGTGTTAAAGTGCTCACGAAGACGCGACCCTTAGTTGTCCTTTATCAGTTTGAACTTGAAAAAAAATCAAGCCCGAATTCAAAATAAGGTGATAAAATAAATTAGTTTGACAAGCTCTAATTTAAAGAGTCCAGCACGTTTTGACCTAAGTATTACAACTGAACAGCTCGGCAGTTTTTCAGACATGCTTAAAGAACTAGAATGGGGTACTTTAGAAACAAGAAGGAAGAAAAACAATAAACTAGTACCTAACAGTGAAACAAAGAACGCGTACAAGTGAAACCTAAAGTTATACAGATTGTCCAATAATTATAAGGAGGTAGCGGTTGAAAAATGGGCCTTACATAGAGTAATATAACGTCCCCTGCCAAGAAAGGCAAGTTAACTCTACCCACCTCCTGTCACTTAAAAATTATGACCAGCCGCCCCCCCTAACCTTAACCCTCCCCCTCCGGTGACTTACATTCACATGAATTTGCTCCTTTTGTAATGTACGGTTTTTCGACGTTTGCGTCTGGAACGGTACCTCAAAACTACGCTCAACAGAGCCGACCATTTCAGAACAGTCCGATTGCGCATCGTCTTCACAATCAAGAAAGCGACAGGCGTCCTCGTGAGCCGCGATTTGCCCAGTCTTCACGTGTGCTGAGGTTTAAGTGCCCTGAAGGTCACATGACACTTCCTTTGGGCTAAAAATATCTTAAGACTTAATGGATATTCCCTAGGCGGGAACAATGTTTGAACTTTTTTAAAAGAGGGAACATTTTTTGACCTTAGAAAGGCGCTGATCTCTGTATAACAAGATGAAAGCTCCTTTCTGTATCTTCTCAAATTTTGTTAGACTGGCATTACGAGCGGGAAAGATCAGTAAATCCTGTGTTCTGATTGGCTACCCTAGTGGACAAACCCTGTATTCAACGACTTTTTAGAGGGAACTAGCAAGCTCTTCAACATAAGGATGAGGCTTTTGTCTTCTTTGAACGCTTTTATTCGTTACGATGTTTTCTACTTACTAGTTCACAATTCTTTCCGATCAACGAATTGGCACCTCCTTCTATATTGACTAGAAAACCCACCTGCTTTGAGAAAATCTTTTTAAATTTCAAGGTTGCAATATATTATTGTTCAAAGTAATGAGTAAATCTTCGTCAGGGGCGTAGCCAGGATTTTTTAAAGGGGGGTCACAGCAGGGACACCATCCGGGGATCGCCGACTATATATGGTTTATACCGCTGCTCTCCCTCGTGTATCAGCGGGCTCAGTCGTATTACCGCGGCATGAAGGCCCATACTAGGGACTTTAAGATCCAACGACGAGGACGATAACGAGAGCGTCAAAAAAACAATAGGTTTAATTAGCAAAACAACAACTTCGCACGTGCATCACACTTTTTTGTACATTTCTTTCCCGTTTTTGCCCGACTACGACGTGAAAATGCCTAATTTCGCGTTTTATGGAGGACGAATTGGAGGACGTAAACAAGCAACGACGAAATTTTATTTCTCTTTCTGAGCTTGAATATGGTCCCTTGAAATTCAGCTTCAGGAGGGTTCGCCTACAATTTGCAAAGTAAGTGGGTAGGAATAATCACTATAAAGACTGAAAGAACGCAAATTCAATTCTTGTCGCCGTCGCGTCGTTGGATCTTAAAGTCTCTATTAACTAAAGACAAGAGCCGTTGACGAAAATACTTTACAAAAAAACAAATTTTAAAAAAGTGGGCTTTTCAACAATGGCTTTTACGGCCAAGATATTGTCATGGTGTTTTCGCCACCTGAATATTGTAGGTTGTTTGCTCAAAAGAAGGCCTACCAAGCGGGGGGGGGTTGGGGTCACGGGCACCCCAGGACCCCCCCCACTAGCTACGCCCCTGTTCCTTCGTAATACCCATCAAGCCAGGTAACTTATCATGCAGTAACCACTTAAGAGTATTAAATAACTAAATAAAAGACCATTGCTTGCTCCCTCGGAATCACCGGCCACCCGCTTTATCCCGCAAGAATACATGTTGTTTCAACCATATAACAAATCCTTCATCGACTAAGCTTGTTCGGTCAAGATATATGCGTTATTGACCAAGCTTGAGGTAAAAATGGCTGGGTATTGACCTCGTTTTTTCCGAAGTTTCATTGTCCTCCACTTCCTCCCGGTCTATGAATGTAAAAAGGAACTTTAAATTTTTTATAAGATAATAATCCTTTTAAATTGGCCAAGCTGTTCCGTCACTGAAGATGACTGGATATTGGCCAAGTTCTTTTTTGCGTAGAGGATGTGACCAATTACCATCAAACATCTCGTCATAACAAGATCTAACAAGCTTGGTCAATTATAAAGGATTTATTCAGTGAAGTCAAAAAGAGAACTTTCTTTCTCTTGCGCAACCAACGCGGGAAACCCCGAGCGGGCAAGATACTCCCATCTTGACCGCTCGGAAAACCACTCAGGCCCCGTTTACGTGAAAAAAAGTGGGTCATCCTCCGTGCAGGCCGTGCCAATTTCTGCAAGTGTTTTTCGAGAAAAACGTTGACCCTTTTGCCGTTACTTTTGCCCGAGCCAACAGCACTCGCGCATGCTCTGATTGTGTCACCTTGACTGAGTTGACCTGGCTGGGCAAGCCAAGGTGTTCATTGGAGAAAAGCTGACCCGGCTAGTTGGGGCGGCAAAAAGGCTTTCCTGTGATCCGGGATTTCCATCATTTGAAGATCGGGATCTTGGATTGAAAGTATGCCGGCTTGGGAGGTTGAATGCAAAAAATAACCGTCGGGATTACAGAATTGCACGAAATTGTGTCGGGATTACAGAATTGGAGAACATTATTGGAAACCCTCAAATTTGTCCAAAACGCATAGATACTGTTGCCGGGCTCTAATCCATTTTCACTTCCCGCTATCTCCTTCAATTTTTTTTCCACCCATAAACTGGACTGCAAAACAGTCGGTTGTTTTTATTTTTCTCAAAATCAGTTTTCAAGACCCGAAGAGCCGGCTTAAGATATTCGCGCGCTGGAGACCTGGAATGTTTAAGTCTAATGCCTGACAGTACGGATCTCCATCGATCTGTTTGGAACAGGCGACATGAAACTGAAACTTATAAGGTGACCCGTCAAAAAAAATCATTAAATGAATAATTAAGTGAAGAAATCCCGCAGTATCTTTCTTTGAAGGGACCTTAAAATCTGACGACGGCGACGGCAACAAGAACGTCAAAAAGGAAAAGGTTTAACAACCAAAACAACAATTTTCACGTGCATCACGCTTTTTTGAACATTTCTTTGCCGTCCCTGCACGACTACGACGTGAAAATGCCTCATTTCACGTTTTACAGAGGGAGTACACAAGTGCTGACAAAATTTCCTCTCTCTTTCTGAACTTGGATATGGTTCTTAGGAATTTAACTTTAGGAGGGTTCACCTACATTTGACAAAGTTAGTGACTTGGAGTAATCGTGATGAAGACTAAAAGAACGCGAATTCACTTTTTCAGCGACGTTTACGCTGCCGTCGCCGTCGCCGTCCTCGGATCTTAGGTCCCTAATAGGGACTTTAAGATCCAACGACGCGACAGCGACAAGAACGTCGCTTAAAAAGTGAATTTGCTTTCTTTCAGTCTTCATAGCGATTATTCCTACCCACGTACTTTGTCAATTGTAGGCGAACCCTCCTGAAGCTGAATTTCAATGGACCAAATTCAAGCTCAGAAGGAGAAATAAAATTTCGTCGTTGGTTGTTTACGTCCTCCATAAAACGCGAAATTAGGCATTTTCACGTCGCAGTCGTGCAAAAACGGGAAAGAAATGTACAAAAAAGTGTGATGCACGTGCGAAGTTGTTGTTTTGCTAATTAAACCAATTGTTTTTTTGACTTTCTCGTTGTCGTCCGCGTCGTTGGATCTTAAAGTCCCTAATATCAACTCGAGAGCAGAAAGGAAGATCCCAGGATCTCTTTCGTAAAAAGCAGAATCGCCTATAAGCATGTTTTTCGTGTATCAAATCTTCTGCTGACTTCTGATCACAAAGACACTAACCGAGACCAGGGTCTGGAAGGGTATGGGATTCGGGAAAACGCAAATAATATATATCTTGACGGGATACGGGATTTGACCACTACTGTACTCGGCAACCAGGATTCGCCAAAGTCTTGACACGGGACGCGGTGTTGGGGGAAGAAAACGATGTTTGGTATTGAAGGGGCATAACTTCAAAATGCAGGTTTGTTGTGAAAAAGAAGCGGGAATGCGCGAGTAATTATAAGAACCCCCTTCCGGACCCTGCACGAGAGTGTCAGAGGGCTCACCAACAAAGTCTGTTGTTCATGTTTATACCAGAGTTGCCGTGAGATATAAAATAAACAAATCCATAGCTACCACTTCAGCCAGAAAATGCTTTCTCTTGCCCTAGGTTAATCTAGGTTAATGTGAGGTGTATCCTTTTCTGACTCTATTACTTTCCTCCAAGGCATCAAGAAAGAGTTAAGTTATGTTATGTGAAATAAAGAATCTAGTGCGGCGTTAATGTCTCTGAGCAATAACTGCGTCATGCTAAGGCTGAGATAAGCAGTGTCTTTGTGTTCTTCTCCAAACAGTTTAAGGCGAATGTTAAGTGCGTGCTGATCAGAATCTATTGTTGCATTGACGTCTCCAAGTGAATGTTGAGTAATGCCAAGGCTCTGATAACTATCAGCAGTGTCTTTGTGTTCTTCTCCAAACAGTGTAAGGCGGATGTTAAGTGCGCGCTGATCAGAATCTAGCCCTGCATTGAAGTCTCCAACTGAATGTTGAGTGATGCCAAGGCTATAATAACTATTAGCAGTGTCTTTGTGTTCTTCTCCAAACAGTTTAAGGCGGATGTTAAGTGCGTGCTGATCAGAATCTAGTGCTGCATTGAAGTCTCTAAGTAAATGTTGTCAATGTTGAGTGGCACCAAGGTTATTACAACTATCAGCAGTGCTTGCGTGTTCTTCTCCAAACAGTTTAAGGCGAATGTCAAGTGCATGCTGTGCAGAATCTAGTGCTGCGTTGAAGTTTCCAAGTAAATGTTGAGTGGTGCCAAGGTTATTACAAGTATCAGCAGTGCTTCCGTGTTCTTCTCCAAACAGTTTAAGGCGAATGTCAAGTGCATGCTGTGCAGAATCTAGTGCTGCGTTGAGGTTTCCAAGTGAATGTTGAGTAGCTCCAAGGTTATGATAACTATCAGCAGTGCTTGCGTGTTCTTCTCAAAACAGTTTAAGGCGGATGTCAAGTGCATGCTGTGCAGAATCTAGTGCTGCGTTGAAGTTTCCAAGTGAATGTTGAGTGGTTCCAAGGTTATGATAACTATCAGCAGTGCTTGTGTGTTCTTCTCCAAACAGTTGAAGGCGGATGTCAAGTGCATGCTGTTTAGAACCTAGTGCTGCGTTGAAGTTTCCAAGTGAATGTTGAGTGGTGCCAAGGTTATTATAGCTATCAGCAGTCACTACGTGTTCTTCTCCAAACAGTTTAAGGCGGATGTCAAGTGCATGCTGTGCAGAATCTAGTGATGTTTGAAGTTTCCAAGTGAATGTTTATTGAGGCCAAGGCTATAATAACTATCAACAGTGTCTGCGTGTTCTTCTCCAAACAGTTTAAGGCGGATGTCAAGTGCATGCTGTTTAGAATCTAGTGCTGCGTTGAAGTTTCCAAGTAAATGTTGAGTGATGCCAAGGCTATGATAACTATCAGCAGTGACTACGTGTTCTTCTCCAAACAGTTTAAGGCGGATGTCAAGTGCATGCTGTGCAGAATCTGGTGCTGCGCTGAAGTTTCCAAGTGAATGTTGAGTGATGCCAAGGCTATGATAACTATCAGCAGTGACTACGTGTTCCTCTCCAAACAGTTTAAGGCGGATGTCAAGTGCATGCTGTGCAGAATCTAGCGCTGCGTTGAAGTTTCCAAGTGAATGTTGAGTGATGCCAAGGCTATGATAACTATCAGCACTGACTACGTGTTCTTCTCCAAACAGTTTAAGGCGGATGTTAAGTGCATGCTTTGCAGAATCTAGTGCTGCGGTGAAGTTTCGAAGTGAATGTTGAGTGATGCCAAGGCTATGATAACTATCAGCAGTGACTACGTGTTCCTCTCCAAACAGTTTAAGGCGGATGTCAAGTGCATGCTGTGCAGAATCTAGTGCTGCGTTGAAGTTTCCAAGTGAATGTTGAGTGATGCCAAGGCTATAATAACTATTAACAGTGTCTGCGTGTTCTTCTCCAAACAGTTTAAGGCGGATGTCAAGTGCATGCTGTTTAGAATCTAGTGCTGCGATGAAGTTTCCAAGTAAATGTTGAGTGATGCCAAGGCTATGATAACTATCAGCAGTGACTACGTGTTCTTCTCCAAACAGTTTAAGGTGGATGTCAAGTGCATGCTCTGCAGAATCTAGTGCTGCGTTGAAGTTTCCAAGAGAATGTTGAGTAGCTCCAAGGTTATGATAACTATCACCAGTGCTTGCGTGTTCTTCTCCAAACAGTTTAAGGCGGATGTTAAGTGCATGCTTTGCAGAATCTAGTGCTGCGGTGAAGTTTCGAAGTGAATGTTGAGTGGTGCTAAGGTTATGATAACTATTAGCAGTGACTCCGTGTTCTTCTCCGAACAGTTTAAGGCGGATGTCAAGTGCATGCTGTGCAGAATCTAGTGCTGCGTTGAAGTTTCCAAGTGAATATTGAAGGATGCCAAGACTATAATAACTATCAGCAGTGACTACGTGTTCTTCTCCAAACAGTTTAAGGCGGATGTTAAGTGCATGCTTTGCAGAATCTAGTGCTGCGGTGAAGTTTCGAAGTGAATGTTGAGTGGTGCTAAGGTTATGATAACTATTAGCAGTGACTCCGTGTTCTTCTCCGAACAGTTTAAGGCGGATGTCAAGTGCATGCTGTGCAGAATCTAGTGCTGCGGTGAAGTTTCGAAGTGAATGTTGAGTGGTGCTAAGGTTATGATAACTGTCAGCAGTGCTTGCGTGTTCTTCTCCAAACAGTTTAAGGCGGATGTCAAGTGCATGCTGTGCAGAATCTAGTGCTGCGTTGAAGTTTCCAAGTGAATGTTGAGTGATGCCAAGGTTATGATAACTATCAGCAGTGCTTGCGTGTTCTTCTCCAAACATTTTAAGGCGGATGTCAAGTGCATGCTGTGCAGAATCTAGTGCTGCGTTGAAGTTTCCAAGTGAATGTTGAGTGGTTCCAAGGTTATGATAACTATCAGCAGTGCTTGCGTGTTCTTCTCCAAACAGTTTAAGGCGGATGTCAAGTGCATGCTGTGCAGAATCTAGTGCTGCGTTGAAGTTTCCAAGTGAATGTTGAGTGGTTCCAAGGTTATGATTACTATCAGCAGTGCTTGCGTGTTCTTCTCCAAACAGTTTAAGGCGGATGTCAAGTGCATGCTGTTCAGAATCTAGTGCTGCGTTGAACTTTCCAAGTAAATGTTGAGCGATGCCAAGGCTATGATAACTATCAGCAGTGACTACATGTTCTTCTCCAAACAGTTTAAGGTGGATGTCAAGTGCATGCTGTTCAGAATCTAGTGCTGCGTTGAAGTTTCCAAGAGAATGTTGAGTAGCTCCAAGGTTATGATAACTATCAGCAGTGCTTGCGTGTTCTTCTCCAAACAGTTTAAGGCGGATGTCAAGTGCATGATGTGCAGAATCTAGTGCTGTTTGAAGTTTCCAAGTGAATGTTGAGTGAGGCCAAGGCTATAATAACTATCAACAGTGTCTGCGTGTTCTTCTCCAAACAGTTTAAGGCGGATGTCAAGTGCATGCTGTTTAGAATCTAGTGCTGCGTTGAAGTTTTCAAGTGAATGTTGAGTGATGCCAAGACTATGATAACTATCAGCAGTCACTTCTGTTCTTCTCCAAACAGTTTAAGGCGGATGTTAAGTGCATGCTTTGCAGAATCTAGTGCTGCGGTGAAGTTTCGAAGTGACTGTTGAGTGGTGCTAAGGTTATGATAACTATCAGCAGTGACTACGTGTTCTTCTCCGAACAGTTTTAGGCGGATGTCAAGTGCATGCTGTGCAGAATCTAGTGCTGCGTTGAAGTTTTCAAGTGAATGTTGAGTGGTTCCAAGGTTATGATAACTATCAGCAGTGCCTGCGTGTTCATCTCCAAACAGTTTAAGGCTGATGTCAAGTGCATGCTGTGAAGAATCTAGTGCTGCGTTGAAGTTTTCAAGTAAATGCTGAGTGGTGCCAAGTGTGAGATAACTATCAGCAGTGGCTGAGTGGTCTTCTCCAAACAGTTTAAGGCGGATGTCAAGTGCATGCTGTGTAGAATCTAGTGCTGCGTTGAAGTTTCCAAGTGAATGTTGAGTGGTGCCAAGGTTATGATAACTATTAGCAGTGCTTGCGTGTTCTTCTCCAAACAGTTTAAGGCGGATGTCAAGTGCATGCTGTGCAGAATCTAGTGCTGCGCTGAAGTTTCCAAGTGAATGTTGAGTGGTTCCAAGGTTATGATAACTATCAGCAGTGCTTGCGTGTTCTTCTCCAAACAGTTTAAGGCGGATGTCAAGTGCATGCTGTGCAGAATCTAGTGCTGCGTTGAAGTTTCCAAGTGAATGTTGAGTGATGCCAAGGCTATGATAACTATCAGCACTGACTACGTGTTCTTCTCCAAACAGTTTAAGGCGGATGTTAAGTGCATGCTTTGCAGAATCTAGCGCTGCGTTGAAGTTTCCAAGTAAATGTTGAGTGATGCCAAGGCTATGATAACTATCAGCACTGACTACGTGTTCTTCTCCAAACCGTTTAAGGCGGATGTTAAGTGCATGCTTTGCAGAATCTAGCGCTGCGTTGAAGTTTCGAAGTGAATGTTGAGTGGTGCTAAGGTTATGATAACTATCAGCAGTGACTACGTGTTCTTCTCCGAACAGTTTTAGGCGGATGTCAAGTGCATGCTGTGCAGAATCTAGTGCTGCGTTGAAGTTTTCAAGTGAATGTTGAGTGGTTCCAAGGTTATGATAACTATTAGCAGTGTCTGCGTGTTCTTCTCCAAACAGTTTAAGGCGGATGTCAAGTGCATGCTGTGCAGAATCTAGTGCTGCGTTGAAGTTTCCAAGTAAATGTTGAGTGATGCCAAGGCTATAATAACTATTAGCAGTGTCTGCGTGTTCTTCTCCAAACAGTTTAAGGCGGATGTCAAGTGCATGCTGTTCAGAATCTAGTGCTGCGTTGAAGTTTCCAAGAGAATGTTGAGTATCTGCAAGGTTATGATAACTATCAGCAGTGCTTGCGTGGTCTTCTCCAAACAGTTTAAGGCGGATGTCAAGTTCATGCTGTGCAGAATCTAGTGCTGCGTTGAAGTTTCCAAGTGAATGTTGAGTGATGCCAAGGCTATAATAACTATTAACAGTGTCTGCGTGTTCTTCGCCAAACAGTTTAAGGCGGATGTCAAGTGCATGCTGTTTAGAATCTAGTGCTGCGTTGAAGTTTCCAAGTGAATGTTGAGTGATGCCAAGGCTATAATAACTATTAACAGTGTCTGCGTGTTCTTCGCCAAACAGTTTAAGGCGGATGTCAAGTGCATGCTGTTTAGAATCTAGTGCTGCGTTGAAGTTTCCAAGAGAATGTTGAGTAGCTCCAAGGTTATGATAACTATCAGCAGTGCTTGCGTGTTCTTCTCCAAACAGTTTAAGGCGGATGTCAAGTGCATGCTGTGCAGAATCTAGTGCTGCGCTGAAGTTTCCAAGTGAATGTTGAGTGATGCCAAGGCTATGATAACTATCAGCAGTGACTACGTGTTCTTCTCCAAACAGTTTAAGGCGGATGTTAAGTGCATGCTGTGCAGAATGTAGTGCTGCGTTGAAGTTTTCAAGAGAATGTTGAGTATCTGCAAGGTTATGATAACTATCAGCAGTGCTTGCGTGTTCTTCTCCAAACAGTTTAAGGCGGATGTCAAGTGCATGCTGTGCAGAATCTAGTGCTGCGTTGAAGTTTCCAAGTGAATGTTGAGTGATGCCAAGGCTATAATAACTATTAACAGTGTCTGCGTGTTCTTCTCCAAACAGTTTAAGGCGGATGTCAAGTGCATGCTGTTTAGAATCTAGTGCTGCGTTGAAGTTTCCAAGTGAATGTTGAGTGATGCCAAGGCTATAATAACTATTAACAGTGTCTGCGTGTTCTTCTCCAAACAGTTTAAGGCGGATGTCAAGTGCATGCTGTTCAGAATCTAGTGCTGCGTTGAAGTTTCCAAGAGAATGTTGAGTAGCTCCAAGGTTATGATAACTATTAGCAGTGCTTGCGTGTTCTTCTCCAAACAGTTTAAGGCGGATGTCAAGTGCATGCTGTGCAGAATCTAGTGCTGCGCTGAAGTTTCCAAGTGAATGTTGAGTGATGCCAAGGCTATGATAACTATCAGCAGTGACTACGTGTTCTTCTCCAAACAGTTTAAGGCGGATGTTAAGTGCATGCTGTGCAGAATCTACTGCTGCGGTGAAGTTTCGAAGTGAATGATGAGTGGGGCTAAGGTTATGATAACTATCAGCAGTGCTTGCGTGTTCTTCTCCAAACAGTTTAAGGCGGATGTCAAGTGCATGCTGTGCAGAATCTAGTGCTGCGTTGAAGTTTCCAAGTGAATGTTGAGTGATGCCAAGGCTAGAATAACTATCAACAGTGTCTGCGTGTTCTTCTCCAAACAGTTTAAGGCGGATATCAAGTGCATGCTGTTCAGAATCTAGTGCTGCGTTGAAGTTTCCAAGAGAATGTTGAGTATCTGCAAGGTTATGATAACTATCAGCAGTGCTTGCGTGGTCTTCTCCAAACAGTTTAAGGCGGATGTCAAGTGCATGTTGTGCAGAATCTATTGCTGCGGTGAAGTTTCCAAGTGAGTGTTGAGTGGTGCGAAGGTTATGATAACTATTAGCAGTGAGTACGTGTTCTTCTCCAAACAGTTTAAGGCGGATATCAAGTGCATGCTGATAAGAATCTAGTGCTGCGTTGAAGTTTCCAAGTGAATGATAAGTTTTTGCAAGGTCTTCGTAGTACGCTGCAAGTGCTTCCTTGTGTACCTGGTACGAGAGTGTTTTTTCACTACACCGATCCAGAGCTTTTTGATGGAAACTAATTCTCATTTCACATTGTAATGTGGTATCTTCCATTTTATCTAAAACAGACAGAAGCTGCCTATGAAATTTACAGACACCTACAGAGATGTGCTCCTCTCTTTCGATCTCGCTCAGCATGTCATGTAAAATATTTGTGAACTGTTGTTTAGTGTCAGCATCAAAGAAATTCTGCATGGTGTGGCTTACGATAAAAATCATTTCCAGTTTTAAAGGGTTGTCAGAAACGTCGATAACACCTCTTTGATTTTCTGTCACATTGCTAAGTTTCCTTCCTTCCCCTTGTTTTAAAGATAACAACGGCAGTTGTTCTGTATCTTCCGCTGCATTGCAAGGTAATTGATTTAATTCCGTCGAAGTCTTTTGAAATGGGGAAAATATTGCAAGAATTTGTAGAGTAATGAGCGTAAGACTTTTCTGATCTGGACTTCCATCAAACATCTGAAGTGCGTCTTGCAAATTCCGAATTCCATCTTCCGTATTGCCGTTAACAAGCTGGTTGATACCTAAATAACACAGACGTTTTCCTTGTAGTTGTGACAAAGAAATTGAAGGCAGTGCTTCAGCTTCAGCTTCCTTTGCTCTACAAAGCAACTGCACCGTATTTCCCCTTGCACCCCAACATACTTCTCCAAACGCCTTTGAAACAAGTAATCGACTGTAAGACTCGTTGTCCTCAAATCTCTTCGTAGCCTCAATTGCTGAATCGTATATCTTGTTAAAGGTTGATGCTTCATTAAAAAAAAGAGTAGCAAGAAACAACTCTCCCTTAGATAACACATCAAAAACAGTGCTAGCTGTCTTCGCATTCGCAAGCCTATTTAAAAGGCTTTGAATAATACTTTGCTCATCTTCATAGAATTTAAGAAACGCCATCATTGAATGACCAGTCAGAAACTGCTCATTTAGCTTCTGAAAAAGTGACACGTAAAACGCGTTCAATCTGTCCTTTGATTTAAGGACCGTGTCTTTCATTTCATTTCCTCCTTTTTCTCTTGCAAATGATTGTAGCAGCTTGTGCATCGTAAATACCTGTTGTTTCATATCTATATCAAGAAGGGACTTCCTCCGAAGGCCGTGCAATAACTTCTTGGCCTGAAGATTTTTTTCGTCTAAAACAACAGCAGCGACCTCCGTACCAAAATTCTCTGGAAGAATACTCAATGACACTAGTGCTTTTTTCTCCTGTGCAGTGAGCCTCTCAAAAGATAACTCAAAAAGAGACTGTAATCTGTACTCGTCTGGGTAATCTGGCCTGTCTAACATCTCGGCGATACTCGCTGTGGAGGCGAACTGTATGAATTCATCGAGATATTGGCTTGGTTGAGCCCCACCTTCAGAAATTGAGGAACACAATAACTTTATTGCAAAGGGTACAAATCCACAGATTTGCAAGATTCGTGTACAATCTGAAGAAGTTGCTGTTGGAAGAAGGGCTTTTACTAAAGTCTTTGCAGAGTCTTCATCCAATGGTCTAATCCTTACACTCTGGTGACCTTGCAAATCCACATTCAGAAAACCTAGCGATTCTCTCGTTGTTAAAGCAAATATGGTCGCCTCACTTCGCCTGAGAATTTCTTTCAAAAGTTCTATGACCTCTTTCTTCACGCCTGGCTCGCCATCTTCTAATAAATTATCAGCATTATCAAGAATAAAAATAGATCGATCGGAAATTTCGCTTAAAAGAAGACAAAGCTGATCTTCAAGGGATGGATGCGAAAAGGATGGATGGTCATTTCTGACCGATGGCTTAACAAAGCTTAGAAGCTTTGAAACGAGATCTGTTTTGGACTTCAGTTCACGTAATGAAAGCCAACAGACCGGCATTCCTTTAGACTGAAGATCGTGTCCCACCGCAATCGCAATCGATGTTTTTCCGAATCCAGGTGAACCCCAGATAGATACGAGCCGGGTAGATTTAGAAGTCACGTGACCAGTAATCTCCTCACATTCGCTTTGACGTCCAGTAAAATTAGAAACCATTGCAGGAAGGGAAGGTAAAGATAGCGATGGTCTCACACCTGTAACAGCAATAATATATGGATCGTATTTTTAAGAACTGAAGTAAACTATAAGCGAAAATCAATAAACGTGATGAACTGTAACTATATATAGTATATCTTTTATTTTTTTGTTATCTTGTCTTTTTAAGTAGCCACACCATACCACGTCATATTATGTAATTTCCGGTCATTATTTTACTTCATATATATTTCTGTAAATTCGTGATATCTCAATAAACCTGATGAAGACTGGTATTGGCCAGTCGAAATATCGCAACTTAACTCTATTTCACGTTGTTTGATCAGTCCCTGCAAAAGTCTTCTTGACTGTAACGTTTAAAATTTTATACATTTTGACTTATCACGATCTTTTTGGATCCGACGTTGAGCAAGGTTGTTCGTACACGGTTTTTGCAGTGGTTTTTGTACCTTAACTAAACATTCTGTTTGGCAACCTTCAGTTTTTCTCGACGGCTACCCGTTTCGTTTTGTTTATGCATTCTACTGCGTTAAATAAAAACTTTGCAAGTTTTGGTTTCGTAAACACCTGTTAACAGAAGCATGGACTAGTAGAGGTTACATCTTTCTTTATTTATCTATATTCCTGAGTATCAATCAAGCGGGATTCTTTTTTCGAGTTTCAAATTTAATTTGGTAGTTTTGTCAAGTTTGGTGACGCTTACACTGCATGAATTGAGGGATCTGTATACGGGGTTGAGGGGTGGGGGGGGGGAGTCCCATATATGGGCTTGATATAATGGGCTAGATAGGTATGTGCCGCCCTATAGAATATGGTTCTTTAGGGTGTCCGCCCTTGACAGGGTGTCATTATTTTTTGGCCTTGCTAGCGTTGTAATCGCGGTGCGATCCTTAGCCGGATAGGGTAGCGTTATTATATCAGTTAACTTTCAAGTGCGTAAATGCCCAGCTTGACGAGAAACAAATCAACTGCTAAAACGTTCCTTAGAGTATTGGGGAAGCGATGCCAGGAAGATTTGTGTGTTTCTGCTAAATTCCGTAAGGTTTTGTTTTCTCCTTAAATTGGGTGTCATTTTTCAGGTTTGGCCCGTTGATAAGGGTATCAGTTTTCGTGTTTCTCATCCAGTTAAATAGGGTCAGGGTATAAATCATTTTAAAACAGTTGTAATTTTTTTGTTTTTCTGGCCTTTTCTAGCTCTAGGTTTAAGTCTTAGTTTTTTTTTTAATAATACTGGTTGTAAATTTTGTTTTTCTAGCCATTTTAATACTTAGTTAGAGAATCTGTAAATCATTTTATATTGTAAGGGAGGTTTTAGTCTATCTCTGTGAAGCACTATGGGGCATTCTTTTGGATATAGTACCATATAAGTAAATAAATATTATTATTAATATTATAAGACCTTGGGCGGTACACATCGTTGACATATGGTGTACTCCTCCCGCCCGGAATGCTCAGTCAGTAGATAGCATCGCAAACAGATAATATAAGAGTGTATGAACATATATAAGTGGGCATTAAACTTCAGGGTATACTAAGAAAAATATCAGAGGATCCTTTCATTTATACCTTTTTACACTTTATTTCGTAAGCTATACTAACAAAACTAGTAACACAATACAATAGTACATTCTAATTTCTATGTTAACTAGTGAAACGAACCTACCTTTGTTAACATGATCATCATTTCCTTGATAGTGAGGCCATCTTTGGAAGACAACAGCATCATTCAAAATTTTGGCAACTAAAGAAGCAGCATTAGCACTCGCAAATTTGCTCCAATTTTCATTTGTTTTCACGCTGCCATCTGCATAATTAGCAATTCCTTTTACAACAAGCCATTCAACTTGCAGGTCAAATGCAGCTGTGTAAAGTCCTGCAACAGAAACAGACCCCTCATAAATAAGGCCATCTATAAATGAGAAATAGACTTGTAGGGCGGCGGGATATCAAATTAAAAAGGTGCGTTATCACAACCCGTAAATTTAGTGAAAAACTTTGTGAATCGTAACAGGTATGGCTTGCTACTCTTCAACGCTAAATCAAAATCGCTATACCGAAGGCTACTGTGATGGAGACAAAGGGATGCAATAAGGTATGCTAAAGAATAGTTGTCCTGGAAGAAACATATCATTCTGACGCTGAAACCACACTCACAGATCGATCCGCGCCGCTTCACATATAATTTGGGCGGTGTCTGTTCTCATCTCAGACTTTTACAAACAGGTATGAATCTGCGATCAATATCTTGGTTTTATCAACAAAAAATTTACTCACGAAAAATTAACAAAATTATAGTAATGATTTTCTTTTTTGTAATTATAGTCCTCGAAATCAGATTAACCATAGGTTTTTATTTATAATGAAATTCCCTTAATCTTCAATGAATAATTTTAATTTAAAATAAAAAATTGGGGAATTAAAATCATTATAGATAGTTTTTACTGTCACGCAACAAAAAATTAAATTGGAAACCGTCCAGTGGAAGAAGCCAAGAAAATGAAATGTTATAAAAGACTAATATATAAACAATTTGTCCAAGCCTCAGGTCTTTGTGGCCCCCAGTTTCTGAGTTATTTAACGAAACGTTTCACACATCTTTGTAGAGCTTTGTATGGAGAAGCCATATTGGTGTCCCGTTTTGGTGCACCTATATGGCCGCCGGAAATCAACACAAACATCTGGAGTTCACTTTTTCTATAAAGCTCTTTCTTCTCACTCGAGAACTAGCATACGTGCGTATAAACGTATCTTCTAATACTTGAAATGGTTATTCTGCTGAAAATCAAAAGGACTTTTTTTTCAACGAGACAGCATTCCTCATGATTTTGGTGTCACGCACTATGAAAACTCGGAAGTTCAAATTGCTTTATTTTCGAAATGAAAAAAGCTACGGGAATGGAAACTTGTACAAAGATTTACTTTTTGTTTTTCTTCAACCTAGTGTAAATAAGAATGCGTAAAACGTCGCTATTTTGACTTTACAATTTGATGACCTCACTGTGAAAACCATCTACAATCGTTTATAAAGCCTAAAAACCCAATTACCTTGGAAAAGTTATTTCAAAAACGCAATGTTTATCTAACCTGTACTTCTCTAAGCACTTGGTGAAAGGCTACAAGGGTCACTTTGGACTATACATACGACGAGTGTCGACGCAGTGATCCGACTACTTTTTAATGGAGGAAAAACGCTCAATTTTATTTTATTCCCGAGCAGTTAGAAAACCCATTTGAAAGAGACGAGTATTTTTACTCATACAGGTATCGCCAATCGCTTAGTATAGCGGCTAAAGGGATATGGAGAAAGAAGCCAAACGCCGTCACACTATGTTAAAGACAACGTTCAGTCACTATAGCTGTTGCAGGAATTGGTTGCCAGTTTTAGTATTGTCTCTTTCAGAGGTCAACTAAAAACTGAACCACACTCAGATTGGTCTCCCCGGGATGTTTAGCTCTATTTTGTGACGGTATTTCCCGATCCCCATAGCCTGAGACCAGTTTCCACAATGGGGAGAAAAGAGAATGAAATATTCGGCGATCAAAGACCATCAAAGCAATTCGAACGGGAGCCTGGGAAGGGGACAAAATGGCAGTGCTAGGCGCCGCCGCCCCCCTCTCCAGTCCAATGCTAGGCTCGCTTCGCTTGCCGATTTTTTTTAGCTCATTCAAGGCGTCTTTTGCGCCACACCCCCAATAACGGGACTGACCCAGGCTATTTCCACTGGGATTTCATTACCTTCGGCTTCAGAGTCAATGGCCACTGCTTGAGGAAAGGTTTCAGCCAGCTGTTTACGCCGCCATTCTGCATTGATTACTTCTGGAATGCTCAACATCTCACCGCTGCTGTGAATTTTGACTTCTCGATCTTCTGAGTTCTTCAAAGGAGCCTCCCATCCAAGTGCTGCATCCTTAATGAGGTCAAGAAATCGTTTACTAGCAAACGTTCTTATATTATTGTGCAGCTCTCTTTCGTTTGTCACTACCTTCAATCCATATGTTGTCAACTTTGCAGATATTACAACATCACCCAATTTGGTTTCCTCAGGACGAAGGCTACTGCAGGTTCCAACTAAAATCACTGCTTTGGGCATAAGCATTGAGACAGCATTTTTTGTAGTTACTATGGAGCCTCCTGGACCACCAGAACCTTCATGACATCGCAATAAAGCGACTTTTACTTTCTCCTCTTGGCCTTTATTCTCATCCTCGAGGTAAACAAAACCAACACCATCAAACCAACATCTGAATGGATTGTTCAGGTGCATATAGCAAGCTGAGAACTCACAGTCCTTTACAGTCAGTAACAAAATGTCGACAGGAAGGCGTGCATGATTCCGAAACTTTGTTGGTACCTGGATATCACTCATGCGGGGTAGTTTAACACTAAGCTGGGGCGGGTCTTCACTGGCGTCGCTGTTCTTACTCTTAGTTCCCCTATTTTCGCTATCTGAGATATCTTCTTCTTGTGCGATGCTGCCAAAGTCCTTTGAAGGGTTTGACATTTTGCTCAATTTCGACTATGGATCTGGCATATGAAGAGTAGATAAACTGTCACACGTCTGTATAAGAAGGATTAGCGGGGAGAGGACGTCTGTACACAGGCTAAGGAACGATTTGATTTAAAATAGTCAATGAAATTAGGAGCCTTTCTGCAGCCGCCCCATCCCCTCAAAAACAATCGGGGAAACAAAAACACCATTAGCAAGCAGCGCGACACAGGCGTCTTTCTCCCCGATTTTGGTTGAGAGGAGGGGGCAGCTGTACACAGAACCAGCTGTCACAGTGCAGTATTAAATGACGGTGGATGACTTTGAAACGTTTTGTAATAAATTTCTGAGAATTTCCAAATAAATTCTTTCCGATTGTAAAGAATGGGACGGTATTGTTTTTTGTACAAAGCGAAGTATTTCCTTGTCCTCTCTAATAATTCCCCGCAGAGAACCCATATTATCTCGGAAAACTCTCAGATCGCTTTTTATGTTGGTGTTTTCTTCTCGGCATTTCAGTTGCACGATGGTTTTAAACGCTCTGTTGATGTTGAGTTTAAATTGAGGGTTTAAACCGTTTCTTTCATAGTTTACAGCATGGATTTGCGATTTTAAGCTTCTTCAAGGAATTTTAAGCTCTGTCCTAGCTCTGGGATAGGAGCATTTGTAAAAATGTTTTTACTCCCCGCGCACTCAGGGAACTGATATCAGACAGAGCTTTGCACAGTCATCAGAGAAATTAGTGCCATAAATTCAATGTGCACAGCATTGTTATTTTTTTCTTTTTACTTCATTTAAAGCCAAAGTTCTCAATTAGCTCATAACATGACAATGACGTTCATTGGGTGCAGAGCCCTCCAAGTATCACACTTGAACGGCCCCGGTATAAATTCTGGCTGTCAGAGATTTCGTTTGTGTGCCTCCTACCTTTTGTTTGACTGTTCGCGCGTACTTGAGAGTGCAAAAATACGGACTGTTTGCAGTCTACAAATCCCATTGCGGTAGAAAATAGAAAGTTAAAGCTATTATTATCGCTTACAAGTTTCCACATGTGCTATCCCTTTTCCTTTTGAAATATGTCATTGTGAAAAAATAAGAAAATACTATAGGTTTTAGTAGGTCCAATAGACTTTATAAAAGTCCTTTAAAAGGAACTTAGCCAATATCCAGCCATATTGACCTCATGGTTGGTCAAATATAAAGAATTTATTAAGTGGCCAAAAGAAAACGGTATGCAACAAAGTGTTGAACGTTAGCAATCGTTACTCTCATCAGTAAGCTAGAGTTACCTTTTAATTAACTAGTATAACCCATAGGTCTCGTCTAGTTTCGTCATGCAGAACCTGCGTGCGATTCTCCCATTTTAATCTGGACTCGGTGGTGCAAGCTTTGCTGACTCCGTTACTCTCTCCAAATCACCTAAGGAAGGTAGAGTTAATGCAAGGCCATCAAAACTATCAGCGGTGCGTTCTTGTTCTTCTCCAAACAGATTAAGAGCAGTGCATGTTGATAAGAACCTAGGGCCGCCTGGAAGTCTCCAAGGGAACGTTGAGTGGCTCCAAGGCTATGATAACTATCAGTAGTGCTTGCGTGTTCTTCTCGAAACAGTTTAAGGCGGATATCAAGTGCATGATGAACAGAATCTTTTCAGCTGTGTGTGTTTTGTGAGTTCGATGTCCGAAATGATATGGACTACAAAATCGAACGGTCATGGTTCAATTTAGATTTGCAGACTTGAAGAATTAATATTTTTCCTTGGTATACTTTACACAGGGAATCAGTATTTAGAGTTGACTCAGAATATGGAAATACAGTCGAACCTGTATATAAGGGCCACCCTCGGGACTTGAGGAACTGGCCGCTTATTTTCAGGTCGATTTACACAAACGTCACGATTCCTTATATTTTATATCCTTATAATGGTTAGCAACGTATTTTGAATTGGCTCTGAGTCCAATTACGCGCAACTTCATTGTTTAAATCTCGGCTTAGATCTTGTCTCAAAATTTTGTCTCGGTGACCTCGGTTCGTGTGGTCGCACTGTAATCACTAAAAATACTCACTGGGCTTGGTCTAATGTCAATTTTAATGCAGTATCAGTCATACAAAAACATTTCATGCAAGGAAACAATTGGAGCGTACATATAAGTAACATTGTGTAAAAGTACTGTGTAATAAATTGTCCTCTACTTTTCTTCGGTATACCGTATTTCTATGACTTTAAGTCAACAACAAAATATCTCATTCCGTCATTTCATAGTTGTTACGTTCAATGTGCAGTGTTTTTTTTTTTTTTAAGAAAAGCACGAATGGAACAAAATCGTTCAATTGATCCAGCGTTGAAACAGCTAAGGCGATTTGAAGTTTTGTTTCTTTCATTACAGTCGAACCTGAATATAACGGCCCTGACTATTAAGCGGCCAGTCCGGATTTTTCACTTATACAAACTCCGCATTTTGCTACCTGTTTTAGGCGGCCAACTCTATTAAGGGGCTGCGGCCAGCCTTTAGAAGTCCTACGTTTTTCTTTCGTTGTTATTTTTACCTGTATTTAGCTGCTACCCTTGAACGGAAACTAAGCCATATGTAATTTTGTGCTACTTACGCAGTCGGGTTCTAGTTGATATTAGGGAGCTTACGAATCGACGACTTTCGCACGACGCCGCCGCTGGGTCACGTCATAGTTCTGCGTTGCCGTCCTGTAGAAATTTGAATTTACGATTCGTAGTAAAGACGACGACGTTGGTGCGCGAGGCTGGCAAATTTTCCCGCCGTTTCTGAAGTTTGTTTTCTTCTTTTCACAAGTAAGCTTGTTTGTTCAACCAAAATGTCTAAACTCGTAAGAGAAACGAGAGCTCGTATTACAGACGCTTATGGAAACAGATTTATAAAGGACCGAGTATTTCACTGTATTTGTACTTTTATGCGTTTCGTAAACAAACTCAGAGTTAACTACGGATTTAGAAGAGACAACAAAGGACGAATGCGAGGGTCGTTTATATACAGGGATCGCATTTATAAACTTGCTGAACAGCTGTAGTTACTGTGATGAGATGACCACTTGCAATGGTCTAGTCGTAGCTTTGGTACCATCTTGCCAATATGGTTTCACTCGGTGTTAATTTATGTTTGTCTACAGCTAGCTATGGTGTTGATTCTTCGGGTCGTTACTTCAATGAAATCAGACAAACAAATCGAAAACATATGTAAGGAACATGTACCTAATGTTATACTTGAATTATCTGGAAAAATCCGCTGAAGTATGTAGGGAAAACTTTGAAAATTAGTCTCACGTCCTGCTTTTTCTAGGACGCCGGCGAATCCTGTCAACAACGGCGTCGACTTTGGCGCGACGCCGGCAAGTGCCCAGATAAGCATGCGCAGTAAGCCACTCACGCAGTCCAACGGCGTCGTCGTGCGAAAGTCGTCAATTCGTAAGCTCCCTATTCTGGTCCGATTGGAAAAAATGGGACCCGACTATCCAGAAACCGGTAAACACCCATTAAAAATAGCACACAAAAAGTAGCTTAATACAGGGCCGTTATATACAGGTTCGACTGTAATGAAAGAAATCCAAAACGTTAAATCGCCTTGGCTGTTTCAACGCTAGATCAACTGGACGATTTAGTTTCATTCGTGTTTTTTGTAAAGAGTTCCACTTCGTTCGATGACCGAACTCAATCAAACTTGGTCGAAAATAAGGCATTCGATTATTTTCAACTCGAATATTTTTTGTTAGTTCGCTGATTTGGTTCAATGGCCCCGTAAACTGTATCGAACTCATGTCTTTCGTTCGAGAGAGTTCGAAAACCAAACCTTCGATGTGATACGCCAGGGTAATGGTTAGAACATACGACAAAGTTCCTAATAAATTTCAACATCATCTTACAACTGTTGTGCACTCGAGTTCTTCTATATCCTTCATTATTTCCTAACTTTTTAAAACTTACGTCAGTCTACACATTCCAATTTTATAAACCAATTTTGATTCGGCTTTTCTATATAAATGGCTTATATATGTTTGAATTCAATCCACGCATAAGACATTACTTTTAGAGACAGTTCCTGAGTTGCTTTAGTTGGATGCAAGTCTCTGAAGTCTTCTTCTCGTGTGAAATGGAACTCTATTGCTGAGTGCGGGCAGCCTGCATGGATACTTATACTTAAAACTGAAAATATTACCTACCTTCACGAAATTTATAGAGGCAAGTTAAGACTTCCCTGAGCTGATCAATCCCACGGTCTGTAGATTGTCTTTATTGTCGAGAATAGGATGAAAAGCCTCAGGGAATAGCGTTTTGTTCCATGACAGTCTTTGGTAACAGGGGTTTGTCCCTCAGGACGTTAATTATTACACAGTTACTTTCAGTATGTAGATTAGTCACGAATTCCTTTTTAAAAACACAAAAACAGATATTGCCGATATTGCTCACACTGGGCTGCAATTTCCGGGTTTGGTCTACAATCTTGAAGCAAGTGAAAAACCCCCAATCCCCATGCCGTTGCGAAATCAAGATTGAACTCGTGCAAGAAGGCCAAAATGCACCATTTTCCCATTATTTATTTATTTATTTATTTATTTATTTTTTTTTTTTGGGGGGGGGATCTAAATTATTCATCATGATTGCAACCTTGAAAAAGATTGGAATGGAACAGCCCCCTCCCCATCCCCCTGAAAACAAGAATGATTTACGTAAAAGCCATAACATGCCATTTATTTGGGGGAGATAAGGGGAGTTAATGAAAAGGTTCTGCGGTCTATTTTGTCAAAAAACAGCTCTTCACAACTTGAAAACGGGAAAGGACGTTCTACGTGGGGTCCCCTTATTAGACTTCTATGGCATTAGGCTACTTCTTAGTGGGCAAACAATGTAAGCAGACAGTAGACTTTAAAACCGTCAGTTTTTTTCCCATTGAAATAGGTTTTTTAAGGTGCCTGCGTAAGATTTTCCCATGAAGCACGTAAGCCTCACATGCCCTGTCAGTATTTGTTAGCTTTTTTCTGTTTATTGATAAACGGAATGACAAGATGAACACCACCGTAAAAAGGAAACTTTTAATAACAATATTAGAATCGAAAATAAAACAACATACTAGCTGAACAACAGATATGGGCGGAAATAGTGCAGAACCAAAGATCAAGATTAAATAACAATTTTGTAAGGAACTTAACTACATGCTGGAATTTTCAGACCACATCTTTTGTTTCTGCTAAAAGCAGTCCCCTGTACACTTACCGTGCAAGCAGAGTCGCTTCGATCTTTCCTAGATAAGTCGGGAAAGAGGAAGCGAAGTTCCTTCCCCTTCCCGACTTATCTAGGAAGATCGAAGGAGACTCTTTTCACAGGGTACTGTACACTGTTTACAGCAACAGTTTATACTGTCACAAAACTAAGTCAGTATAAGAAGTTCTGTTCTACAAGAGTCAATAATGGAGACAAGTACTGAATCAAGTTGTAACTTTTGAGCCTGTCAACGAAATCCTATGGTGTTACCATTCAAACCAAACCTCTTTAGCAGTTCTTCCACATGGTACTGTTTGTTTTGTATGTGGTTCTAAGTTGTGAGCCTGTGGATGAAATCCTGGGCGCTTTCCATTTACGAAAAAAACCCGGAAATTTCGGTGGTAGCAAAAGTGGAATTTGCGATTGGTAAAAAGTTGTTCCATTTGGTCGTAAACCCCGGTACGTAGCGCGGTGCCCGACCGTGGACCTGGAACTGGTACAAACTACGAGAAACGTAAATGGAACACGACATTCCGTTCGGAAATTCCAACCGGGAAAACGGGACAACCTTTTTAGATTTTCCACTTTTTCTGGGAATTTTCCAGTTGGACGAACCGACGAAACGTGTTCCATTTACCGCCGAACCGGAAATTCCGGAAATTTTGACTAAATGGAAAGCGCCCCCTATGTCCTGTATGTCGTAACCATTCGAATGAAACCTATCCAGCAGTACTTTTACACGGTACTATTTGATTTGTACGTAGTTCTAAGTTGTGAGTCTGTGCATGAAATCCTGTGGTGTGACTATTCGAATGAAACCTCTCCAGCAGTATACTTTCACATGGTGCTATTTATTAGTATGTGGCTCTAACATTTGAATGTGTGGATGAAATCCTATGGTGTTGCTTTTCTAATAAAACCTCTTTAGCCCTCAGACTGAGACCTCCTTAGTGGTACTTATATTCTCTTTTTTGAAGTTACTGACTGTTCGGCAAAATCCTGTGGCGTGACCATGCGAAACCTCTCTGTAAAGGAAAAGGAAATTGTAAAGCATCTGTTACCCAGTTTTGATTTGACATTGAACGCATATTTAAGCTGGTTTAGATATCTGTGAAACGTTCAAACAATGAGCCTGGGACATTTCGACAGTCTTTTCGACGGCATTGTTCCCAGTCTTGCGCGTATTCTGACGAAACAACATGGCATCCGCGGTGGTGGAGAATACCTCTTGAAAACCCCTGAAAATGCCATTTCCGAGACTCTAAATTTCAAAATGTCGCTAGATGCCACGGCCCTCAAGAACTTGTGCCTTGGTGCGAGTTCCAAAGCCGCCTACTTTCATAATTATCTGCCTGCTACTTAAAACGTTTTGACAGCCCTGCAGTCAGGTACATGTTGGTTTTAGATGTTTGTAGCACTGCCGTTTGAATTCCAAAAAATATTCATTCTAGATGAGTATTAATGAAATTATTTTTGATTTTTTTTTCCAAGGTTAGCCTTGGTGCACAAGCCTTGTCACTTAATGGGTTTTTCAGTGATTTTAAGGGAATCTCATGGAGGTAAGAATTTATCATATGTTATTACCATGTAGTCGGTTTTGATTTCTAAATTATGTGGATACTTTCACCCATTGCCCAATGACTGCGTATTTTCTCAAAATCTTAACTCAGCTTAGAGTTTACTGAACGACTGAATGAAAAATGCGACTGTCAAACTTAAGGCGATTATGGACAAGGGGTCCGTGGACCCCCACTTTGGAGCGGGTCTATGGCATTGGACCACTTTCATGGACCGGGTCTATGCACCCCCTGTCATGGACAGGGTCCATGGACACCTTTTTTTAAGTAATGAGAAATGAACAAAAACAGAAATAGTGCAAAAACAGGATTTAAAAAACAACAACAAGCAATGCTCGATTGATCAGTAATAATCTCGAAAACCGGGTCCATGGACACTTTTTTATGGTTAGAGAAAGGTTTTGGACTGGGTCCATGGACACTTTGTTTTAATAAATGATCAGAAATGAACAAAAACAGAAATAGTGTAAAAATAAGATTTGACAAGAAGCTGGCAACATATTTAGTTGTGCTTACATCACCCACACTCTGCTTGCATTAAATATGTTGCGGCAGTTGCAAGACTGTTAAGCTAATTCAAAAGTTATCACCAAGGGAGGAATTACGCGCTCCAGTACAAAGACTCACATTATCCTTAGAAAACAAGCTGTAGTTTAGAATTCATTGCTTTCATGACTTAGTCACATTGCAATTCTCCATGATAGTTGTAGCCTGCGAAAACATCCGTTTCTCCTTGCTCTTCGTCGCTGAGGACGTTTCGCGCGGAGGAACGTCTGCGACACAGTGACAGAAATTCCATACTGATGACGCAGATCAATGTTTACATAATAAATCCGGTAGTCATGGGGTTCCAAATATAAATTTGTCTAATTTTGCGTGTCTTCTGGTCGATTTTGGTAAAGTGTTGTGTTGATCTGCCCACGAGCTCCAGCAAAACTCAAATGCTTCTTCTAGAGAAGACTATGTTGCACAAATATTGACTGTTTTGTTAGAGATTCTTCGTGTTTACATTTGACCTTTTTGGCCTTTTGTCATTTGTCTGTCATTTGTAAACAATAGCTAAAACAATGTAACTGCTCCGTCCACCAATCAGCGCTTCTGACCAGATTCTGGACAGATTTTACGTCATCAGTATGGAATTTCTGTCGCTGAGTCGCCGACGTTCCTCCGCGCAAAACGTCCTCAGCGACAAAGAGCGAGGAGAAACGGATGTTTTCGCAGGCTATGATAGTTGATGTACAGTGTAGCTTTAGTTAAAGCTACAATCCTCTTCTTCAAGATTTGGACATCTGTAAATCACTATCCATGGGAATTAGTCATCCTGCTTAAAACGCTAACAAGCTGGACCTAGCGTGACAAAACATTGCAGTAACAAGTGACATTCGCGGACAAAAGGAAAATGGTTTAGAATTATTCAGATCCAGGAGGCACTTTGAAGAAATTAAACAACCCAAAACCCTTTTAAAATCAGCCGCAAAATGAAGAGCTTTACATTTCAAAAGAGGTAGAAAATCAGTATGTGTGTCATGATCTCTCAGTATAAAATAAGGGGCAATAATTCACATTTGCTCAGTCAAAACGTTTTCGTCCAAAGCATAATCTACCAGTCAGAGAAAACAATTCGTTGGAACAAGCAGCATTTTGGCATGAGGTAAACATAGTGTGTTACCTACCGAACCCCCCTTTTTTTACACTATGTAAGCACAATTAATTATTATTACTGATCAATCGAGCATTGTTTGTTGTTGTTGTTGTTGTTGTAAGTTGTCTTTTTAATCTTATTTTACACTATTTCTGTTTTTGTTCATTTCTCATTTATTTAAAAAAGGGGGGGGTCCATGGACCCGGTCCATGACAGGGTTCCATTGACCCAGTCCATGAAAGTGGTCCATGGACCCGGTCCAAAGTGGGTCCATGTGTTGTCCTCACCTGTTTTAATCATTCTGTGCATTCTGTCAATAATTACTGTTAGCTTGTGTTTATGTGTTTTAATCAACCAGATTGCTGGAAGATTTATTGTCCTCTTTTAAGGGAGACAGTTGACTAAAATTAATTACATGCTCACCGGCTTAGTTGTGTGATCAGTTTTTTCATATTTTTTAATTTGAAGCATTGGAGGGGAAGGATATTTGAACCAATCCACAACATTACCAAGTGAGTACCATTAGTATGCACATATGTATTTACTCATGTTAATATTTTGTGATTTACTTTTGTCCATAGTTTAATTTATTTTGCTTTGTTTCAATCTCTTTATCTTAAAATTTAGATTAGTTTGCCTTAAATTAATAGTACTTGTCCAGTAGGATGATTTTTGTACTCCTGTTTGTGACTTTAAATCTGTAATAAAACTTACCTGACATCAAGAGTGCAATATCATAAAAAAGTTTAGAACTTCAGTAATTTCTGAATTATAGCATAACAAGAGCATTTTGAAACATTTATATAGGTAGTAGCATGATTTGTAGTGAAATTCCGAAATTGTAATACCTAGATGAAACTTGAGACAATTTGAAATACAGTAAACACCCGCATATAAGAACAAATGGATTAAGAACACCAGGCTGAAATTTGGTCAATAAAGCCCATTTTCATAAGAACAAGATCAGCCTGAAAATTGTAACATGTTCTTATAAAATGGAAAAAGTGTCATAAATTTAAATTCAAAACATGTAAGTTTAGGTTTGCTGTCAGATAACTTCATTTGTTAATATAATCAAATTACAGAATAATTATTTATTTTATTTTCCTAAAATATGCTAAATATACCTCTAGCAACATGTTTCGGATAGTATTACTAAATAAAAATTTAAGAACATTTTAAGAACATTTTGAGGCTGATTTGTCATTAAGCACTCGATAAATAAGAACTCAATCAGCCTGACCTCCAAAATCGTGTGTTCTTATATGCGGGTGTTTACTGTATCACAAGTGGCATTTATTCCAAATATCACATACAAATCATGCTATTATTTGTTTATACTACTACCCGCAAAAGGTTTGTAATTTTCACATTTAGGTATCTCAAATTAAGCTGAATGCTCTAAACCAATCAAATTGCAGAAATTTCTCATGTAGTAGTACAAAATTACTAATGAAATCATTGGACTGATTGATTTTGGACTACACTGTTGGACTTTTGAGGTGCTTACCATTTACACAAACCACCTGGGTGGAAATCTTGTGCAGAAAAATAGATCTATTAAATTTGAAGTGGTGGGTGAATGACCCACTACAAAGTAAATCCAAATCAGCTGAACAGACTGCAAAGGGTGGAAAAATAAATGCACCCTGGGTTCCAGAGGATATTTTTTTCTTATCGATACTGAAGCCACGTTAATGCAAAAAAAAAACCGCCGAGGAGAAAAAAATGTTATTTTCTCCTCGGCGCTTTGCGCCTCGTTGACGTGGCTTCGCCGCGAACCATCAGTGTCGATAAGAAAAAAATATCCTCTGGAACCCAGGGTAAATGAAATGATGCGGACCATTTGATTTTCCAACCTGAATTTCCGGTTTTCCCGTGTAAATAGTAAGTACACTGTACCCTTGGTTTTTCATGATATGACCCCCAGGACATGTATGTTCACACAACACATACTTTTGTTGACTGACTGCCCCTGCGTCACCAAGGACAATTCCAAAGCAGAAATTATATTGAAATGCTAGCGTAATTGAAATTGTTGTTCATTCCATACACTTTCAGATCTATATCATCAGACAGTTTAATCCTCCACTGAAATTAAGGTGCATCAGTAAGAAGTCAATCAAAGGACAACATCCCTTATAATGATGATCTGAATGTTGCCTTTGTTGGAGCTTCAGCAAGGTCAGAATACATACAATTGGTACAAACATTTTTGCATTATGTCGAGTGATTTAATAATTTTATTGTAACTTGTGAATGTAGTTAAAAAGTCAAAATTTGTCTTATTCTTTGATACTTTTATTAGAGACCTTGAGAATCAAGCAAAAGACTTGGTTTCAAGACTGAAAAACATGAAGGTACATGTATTATATATCTAAGCTACAACCAGCTGCAAAAGTACTTGAGACACCGTACCCTATTTTGGCTTAAATGGCGTGCCCATGATCTTGTGCTTGTGAACCCCCCTCCACCCCTTATCAAACTTGCCAGACCATGCTCAAAACTTAAAGGGTTACAACTTCGAATGGAGAGAACGAAGTAGGTGAGTATTTTCTTTTACAGAAGTGTGACTGTGGCAGCGATTTGCAGTAAGGCCAGTTTTTCGTCGGAGTATCTCAACATTTTTGCACTGGTTGTAGCTTTATTCTAAAGTCATAGTGGAGGTGATTGGTTATTCTTTTAATTAGTTATTGGCAAATTTGACGTAAGACCTCAAGTGTGTTAAATAGGCCCAGTTCTGCAAGGTTAATTAGTTAGCCCAATATATAATTTTATGCTATAAAGGCCAATAATAATGGACAGGCAGATGAGCAGGTGAATGGCCATGATGTGACTGCCAAGAATTCTCGAATGGATGGGTCACCAAAGTTTTTTGGCTTTTGGGGTACGTTTGCAGGAGCTCTGCTGTAAGTTATTGCTAATAATATTCAGACTTGTGACTGTCCTTGGGTTTGTTTAACTTACAGTGCATTTAATAAAAATGTAATTAACAGTTTTTTGTTTGTTCTGTTAATTCTTAAATAGAACATTGATTATGGAAATGACTGGAAACTTCTCACCATGTGGATTGGAACAGAAGATCTCTGTCAAGTTTGCACAGACATGGTATGATTGCTTTGAATTGCATTGTGTATGTAATCAAATTAAATTAATTTGTGTCGTATTTTGCCCCGGGCTCATCAATGTTGTGACTTCTAGTTCATTCAGTTGTGCTAATAGTGCTACTCATATAAATTCAAGGAATCACGATTAAACACTTGTTTATTAAGGGTGGTGTAATAAATGATTGGTCTTGGATTTCATATATTATTTTCTTATTTAAATAAGGAGGTAGTGTGGCCGAGTGGTTAGAGCACTGGACTTGCAATCGGGACTGATCCTGGGATGAACAAGCCCTGCTCTAACTGTCAGCGGGGCTCGTTTTTGGCAGTCCCACGTTCAGCTCCTAAGCCAAGTTTGTAAATTTCTAACTGATTTGCTCGCAGCCAGTTGGGATATTCTAACTTGTTATGCTAATGTTTCAGTAATTTTTTATTTCTGTCCTTAATTGTGGGCCACATTTTAGACTATGCAGTTACCAGAAAATGATTTTGTGTTATCCATTAAAAGTCATACAATTTTAATTTCTATGTAATTTTTCAGGATAAACTTGGCCCAAGGTCTTTCAACAACAACAGCAACAGCAACAACAATGTATTTATTTAAAGAAATATAAAGTTTACAATACAATTGCTTTAATGCTAATCTAGGCAGGACAAGACTTGAAATAAAGACGTTATTAAATTAATACATAAAAAAAAGAAAAGAAAAGAAATACAATAACATACAGAAAGAAACACCTTACATATAAATTCAAGTACAGGGGAACATGTAATGTGCACTCTTAATTACCTGAAAGAGGAGGTATGATTAAATATTTTACCTTTATTTTCTCTTTCATTTTAGTTGAAACAAATACAACAAAGCTCGTTACAAGGATATAGGAGTTTTTCTGATACCTCTTCAAGTTTGCTTTTTTTGAATGAACAGGTACCCTGTCTTTTTGTCAACTTGGTCCCACCTATGGATGTGTCTCTTATGAATTACATGGAGGATCTTCCAAGTCCTGTGAAATCATGGGCTGGTAAGTGAATACAGAATGTTTAGGTAACACTGCTTTGGCATGGGGTGATAATTAGATCATTTCAGCTGCCAAAGTTGCGTGCATAATTTTCATTCATTATCTTGTTGGGTTTCATTTCCTGGGGTAGATCGGTTCAATTGATCTTGGAAAAAGGTTGTTGACTGGTTTCAGTGATTTGAGCTACATGCACTTTGATTTTTTAAACCTGAGGCTGACATTGTAGCAATTGTCAGAAATTTAGACTTAGTGTAATTAAACCCATTAGAGTGTGTTATATTGGATTTGAGGCTAGGTTACAGGTACGCAATGTTTCCAAGAGTTGTGCAGTCAGTCTGGTACACTTCTTGTGAACTGTGGTTTTTCTGAAACTGTTAGTTGTTCAGTTCATTATTTTCTATGAGTTATAATCCGTGGCAGTAGTCTAAACCTCCCCTTACCTTTTTTTGTTATAAAGTAATACTCAATGTGATTGCTGTTGTGTTCTATTTCTTTCAGGAATTCATGCCAGTGCCTGAAGAAAGGTGGCGAGAAGAGCCAAAATTTCCCAAGCTGTGAAAAATTACTAGATAACTGTTCGTGTGGCTCTAATAAGGATGGAACGCCTGTTACAGAATAAAACTTTGAAAAACCTTGAGATCTCGTTTTTAACAGCGGGTTAACATCGTTTAGAATTTGTGATGTTCCTGTAGGAGGTGTCTTTGTGGTTATTAAAGTTTATTTAATTGTCGCTTTTAGCGCCTCTTGAGGGAACTAGTAAGCAGTTGTCTGTATGACACACTGAAGTACTTTGCGGTGGTTATTCAACCTGCTCTTCAACTGCCTCCGAAAACTAAGGTACTGTAGGCTGCTCTTTTGTTATTTAATTAGTTTCCGTTATCAGAGTGTTCATAGTCAAAGTTGCCAGAAAATAACTTATGCCTCTTACCCAGATGTCGCTCATGTAGTTTATTGATATTTCTGGTAGTAAGCGGAGCTTGTTGAGCATGATCTTGGGAAAAGGTCGAGGGCTGCTCTTTTGGCTTTGTTTTTCACACATCTTTATACCCAACTAACGATCCTGTTCACGGATTAAGACGGACTTTATAGAACGTTTTCACTCTCGTAGCCAGCGTCTATGAAAATGTCTGGGAAAAAAGAAAGCTTTTACGTAAGAAAGAAGTTAAACTCCCACAGGATTTGTCTGGAAGACCAACATGGCCACTGTAAAAGTATCTTGCACCAGTGCGGAAGTGGGACTTTAAATACCTTCTCTTTGATACTCCCTTTCCCCCAATTAAAGCTCGCTTTAAACCATAGTCTCTTCTTCAAAAGGGCATTTATATAGCTTCCCATGGGTCCACCAGGGCTCGTTATCATCCAGCAAAGCCAGAAGTTTTGAATCATTATCTTTACCTTTTCTTCCTGTAGGATGGCACGTTAGTTGAGGAATTTTTCGGCTTGGACTGTTTGCACTTTTCAGCACAGGGCCATACGGCAGCAGCTCTAGCCTTATGGAGAAACATGGTATGGTATTATCTAATAACCACGCCTATGCTCTTTTCTGTCTATGCTTTCCTCTTTCTTTACTTTCTTTTATAGAGATAAAAGTTCTACAAGTCATACTACTAATTTGATGTCTTAAAAGCGTTAAGTGTGGAAAGGAGTTTACTTATAGGCTGTGGGGTCAAGCTTCCTACTAAAGCATGTTTATAACATGTAACATGTTCCCTTATCCATTGTTTGCAGTTGGAGCCGTTTGGTTCTAAAACAAAAGACTCGGGAGATCAAGAAAATCTCAAGTGTCCCACAAAGGTTTTTTTCAAACTGTACCAGATTTTTCAGTTGACTTAATTCATGTCCAAAACAAATGGTCTTGTCTCAATGTAGTTAATCAGTTAAAAGTCAGCGTAACTGTTGTCATTCTGACGATTTGTCCAAATGTAGCCGTTTACCGCTCCACTAGAGCAGGTAAACGCCTCTTTATAAAGCTGGCACTTCCACTGTTTATGTTAAGTAAAAAGTACGGACATCTCTGTAATGCAGACACTTGGCTCTTCCATGGCATAGGGGTAACTATTACTTTGTAACTTTATGTTTTCAGGAAAACCCATACTTATTCACTAAAACAAACAGTAACACAGTTATGAGTGAACTGATCAGTGACGATGACCAGGACTCTGCCACAGATGACTTCCCTCCTGCCGCCGCTGTAGCGTTAGCTGTGTGTTTAACAGCTCTTGTGGTGATTGTTGTTGTTTTTGTGTGGAGAACCCGGAAGTCAAGACGAAGACCGGAAGCAAGAAAACTTCTCTATGCTCTCGGACCACACAAACCAAGGATTTGAGTTACGGGCGCGCTAATGTAGAAATTGTCTTTTAAGCTGCCCAGAGTGCTGTTTTTGGTTCAAGCTCTCTTATACCTTCAGCTCTCGTGGGAGCAGACGATGGGAAGAGAGGGGAAAGGTGTTGAATCGAGCGGCTCGTGCTTCTGATGTTCCCTCGCTTCTCCCGCTCCGTGTTTTCTCCATGCTTCTCACGCACCTACAACGCCACCTCAGTGAGAACTCCGTTAAACAATAAGGCTTAATTACCTCGGCACATACGGTACATAACTTAGTCCAACTGTCTGCCATTTCTATAAATTAACGGTGATGTCAAACGATAAAATTCTCGCTTTTAAATGCGCAGGAAGACGGAACAGTTAGTTATCCTTTCTCAATTTCAACTTGAAAAAAATCAAGCCCGGATTCAAATCAACTGGCTTGACGAGCTTGAATTTAAAGAATCCAGCACGTTTTGACCTAAGTATTACAACTGAACAGCCCGGCACTTTTTCAGACATGCTTAAAGAACTAGAATGGGGTACTTTAGAAACAAGAAGAAAGACAAACAATAAACTAGTACCTAACAGTGAAAAAAAGAAAACATGAAAGTAGAGACTGTGAATAAATATGAGGATGTGGGGGTTGAAAAATGGCCCTTACATAAAGTAATATAACGTCCCCTCCCAATAAAGGCAAGTTAACTCTAACCCCCCTCCTGGTCACTTAAACATTATACCCAACCCGTGTGCCCCCCCCCCCGCTCGACCTACATTTCCATGAATTTACTCGTTTTGTAATGTAAGGTTTTTCGACGTTTTCCTCTGGAACAGTACCTCAAACCTACGTTTGACAAAGCCGACTATTTCAGATCGTTCCGATTGCGCATCGTTGTCAGTCAAGAAGGCGGGAAGCGTCGTCGAAAGCCGCGATTGGCTCAATCCTCACGTGTGCTGAAGGTCACACGACACTCCTAACCTGGTTTCCAGGGCTTTTTCCTTCCCTCCCCTCCCATTTTGTAAGGGAAAATGCCCTGGGAACGAGGTTGCTGACATTCCCTTTGGGCTAAAAATGTCCTAAGACTTTTCAATGGTTATTCTTGAAGAGGAGATTCTACCTTGATGATATGTATAGATGTTTGAGCTTTTTGAAAAAAGGGAACAGTTCTTGACCCTAAAAGGACGGTAACGACCGCTATGTACATGCCGCTGCTAATCGCTGTATAACAAGGATAGTTCCTTTCGGTATCTACTCATGTTGTTATCAGGCCTATTTATTGTAAGACTTTCTCTGCGAGCGAGAAAGATCAGTACCTCGTGTTCTGATTGGCTTCAGGAAAACCCATACGACCTTTTAGGGGGAACTAGTAAGTTATTCAACAAAAGGATAAGGCTTTTGTCTTCTTTGAACGCTTTTATTCGTTACGATTTTTACTACTTACTACCAAACAATTCTTTCCGATCAACGACTAGACTTGTCACCTCCTTCAATTTTATATTGACTAGAAAACCCACCTGCTTTGAGAAAATCAATGCTTGCGTAGGTCCTCTGCAATTGGTCAGAACAGACTCAATTGCTTTTAACTTTCGAACTGCTTACTCTTCAAAGCGATTTTCTTTTTTAATTTCGCCGTAAAGCTTGGCTTGTCCAGACCATATAAAACAAGGAGGGCATTACAAAAATTACCAAACATTTGCTTAAACGGAAATTTTTTGCAAAAGTATAATCGAAAACTATGAAAACTAGTCGATGAACAGAGAACTTAGCCTCCATAACAGGCGCTTTATGAGCCAAGCGAGGCGAACGCGGCATTTTGGCCGAAGCGCGAGACGAGGGCGAAGAAAATATTTTTTTCTCCTCCCCTCATCTCGCGATTTGCGCTTGTCTCGCGCTTCGCGTAAAATGCCGTGTTAGACTCGCCTCTCTCATAAAGCGCCTGTTATGCAGGCTACAGAGGATGTCAAGCTTCGTAATCGAAAATGATTGGCTAAACTTTTCCATAAATTGACTACGGACTTGATGAGAAAATTCAGAGGACAATACAGTCAAACCAGGTGAAGCATTCCCGTCGCTAACGAACTAATAAACTCATTAACGGATTCAATAATCCATTCATAAAATGAACAATCCAATTTTCATATTTAGCCTCGATTCCATAATCGAATGTTGATTCGATTACTGTTTTTTGTAAAACTACACATTTTTTCTTCTTTTTTTCTAAGAGTCGAGTGCGGACGAGTTCTGAAGTTCAAACCCAAACAAACTGTTACATGTACGCCGTTTTGCCTCCAGTAATCAGTGCAACGGACCTGACCTCTTAGAAAACACGATAGTCAAACTGAGGTCATTGTATGTGCGGAGACTGGTGGATTTCGATCCCCGGCCTTTGTCAGTTTCTTTGCGTTTGCGGTCTGTCTATTCTAGCTGTTATTTGGATTAAAGGCAATTAAAAACGCAATCGTAAATGGCAGGAAAAGGGAAGCAAATACGATTGAACTCAACAGACAAGAATAAAGAACAGGTAGATTTTGTTCATAAACCAAATCAACACTTAATTATTGAATCGAGGTCCAATTTGACTGTTGGATTATTCATTTTATGAATGGATAATTGAATCAACAAACGAAATTATTTTTTCATTAATGAATTCATTAGTTTGCTAGCGACGGGAACGCTTGACCTGGTTTGACTATAAAAATACATTACCTAGTTAAGAGGTCAAAGTTCAAGCGATAGATATTTAATAACTGCACAGAATATTATCGCGGTTAAAGATGCAACTTAGACAACTTTAAAAGCAGTTATGAAAAGAGAACCTGATTTTTTTTCAGGCTTTCTTTTCGCAGTTGCGTTCGTTGTATCTGTCACTGCGATGTTATTCTGTAATCCGCGGTTCAAACATGAAATTATATATTAAACATTTCAGTAAACACCTATGAATTTCATGCGTTATGGCGAAACAGCTGTAGTACGGCTAAGACCCCGCTCTGTTTTGGGTTCTTTCGGTGTCATGTTGATTTCTTGCAAAGTAAATTTTCACGTAGTACGATCAGCTTTGCAGAATTCAGTGTGTCTACTCAGTGCATATGAGTTTGCTGATCGGGTCTTCTATAGATCCTACTCAGTTTCGCGGCACATTCGTCTGCAGTCCTTTTCAGTTTAAATGTCAATTCTGCCCTATCTTTCTTAATAACATCTCAAATGCAGGAAGGAACAGTCCAGGATATCTTTCGTAGAAAGTCATAATCGCTCTAAAAGCATATTGCTGATTAGATCTCTTTTCTAGAGATCCAACGTTTACAACTAGCAGGATCTTCGTCCACGGTTTTTGCAGTTAATTTAATCCTAAAAGCGTATGTTTTTCGTGTATCAAACCTAATGCTGACTGCTGATTTCAGAAGAGTGTTGTCACGTTGTCACAAAGACACTAACACCAGGGTCAGAAAGGGTATTCTCTCGGGATCCGAAATATAGTGTGGGATTCGGGAAAACGAAAATATCTTGACGGGATACGGGATTTGACCGTTACTCGGCAACCGGGATTCGCATAAGTCTTGGCACAGGATGCGGTATTGGGGAAGAAAAAACGGTGTTCGGGATTGAAGTGACATAACTTCAAGATGCAGGATTGTCGTTAAAAAGGAGCGAGAATCCGCAAATAGGAACCCCCTTCCGGACCCTGCAAGACTACATTTGTAGGCGAGCGTCAGTGGCTCACCAACAAAGTCTGTTGTTTATCTTTAGATCTTCCGTGTAACAAAAAATAAACAAATCCATAGCTTCCACTTTAGTCAGAAGATGTGTTCCCTTTTCCTAGTTTAACCTCGATGTGAGGTGCATGTTATGCTGACTCTATTGCTTTCTTCCAATCATCAAGAAAGAGTTAAGTTATCGCAACGGACTCACAACTACAAGCACTGCTCTCTTGTTCTCTCCAAACATATTTTAAAAGGTGGATTTAAGTGTGTGCCGTAAATAAAGAATCTAGAGCGGCGTTGGTGAGTGAAAACTGCGTGGTGATAAGGCTCAGAAAACTATCAGCAGTACATACGTGATCTCTTCCAAACAGTTTAAGGCGGATGTCAAGTGCATGCTGTTTAGAATCTAGTGCTGCGTTGAAGTCTCTAAGTGAATGTTGAGTGATGCCAAGGTTATGATAACTATTAGCAGTGTCTGCGTGTTCTTCTCCAAACAGTCTAAGACGGATGTCAAGTGCACGCTGTTCAGAGTCTAGTGCTGCGTTGAAGTTTCCAAGTGAATGTTGAGTAATGCCAAGGCTATGATAACTATTAGCAGTGTCTGCGTGTTCTTCTCGAAACAGTTTAAGGCGGATGTCAAGTGCATGCTGTTCAGAATCTAGTGCTGCGTTGAAGTTTCCAAGTGAATGTTGAGTGATGCCAAGGCTATGATAACTATTAGCAGTGTCTGCGTGTTCTTCTCCAAACAGTTTAAGGCGGATGTCAAGTGCATGCTGTTTAGAATCTAGTGCTGCGTTGAAGTTTCCAAGTGAATGTTGAGTGATGCCAAGGTTATGATAACTATTAGCAGTGACTGCGTGTTCTTCTCCAAACAGTTTAAGGTGGATGTCAAGTGCATGCTGTTCAGAATCTAGTGCTACGTTGAAGTTTCCAAGTGAATGTTGAGTGATTCCAAGGTTATGATAACTATTAGCAGTGTCCGCGTGTTCTTCTCCAAACAGTTTAAGGCAGATGTCAAGTGCATGCTGTTTAGAATCTAGTGCTGCGTTGAAGTTTCCAAGTGAATGTTGAGTAATGCCAAGGTTATGATAACTATTAGCAGTGACTGCGTTTACTTCTCCAAACAGTTTAAGGCGGATGTCAAGTGCATGCTGTTCAGAATCTAGTGCTGCGTTGAAGTTTCCAAGTGAATGTTGCGTAGCTCCAAGGTTATGATAATTATTAGCAGTGTCTGCGTGTTCTTCTCCGAACAGTTTAAGGTGGATGTCAAGTGCATGCTGTTCAGAATCTAGTGCTGCGTTGCAGTTTCCAAGTGAAAGTTGAGTGGTTCCAAGGTTATGATAACTATTAGCAGTGTCTGCGTGTTCTTCTCCAAACAGTTTAAGGCGGATGTCAAGTGCATGCTGTTTAGAATCTAGTGCTGCGTTGAAATTTCCAAGTGAATGTTGAGTGGTTCCAAGGCTATGATAACTATTAGCAGTGTCCGCGTGTTCTTCTCGAAACAGTTTACGGCGGATGTCAAGTGCATGCTGTTTAGAATCTAGTGCTGCGTTGAAATTTCCAAGTGAATGTTGAGTAATGCCAAGGCTATGATAACTATTAGCAGTGTCTGCGTGTTCTTCTCCAAACAGTTTAAGGCGGATGTCAAGTGCATGCTGTTCAGAATCTAGTGCTGCGTTGAAGTTTCCAAGTGAATGTTGAGGGATTCCAAGGTTATGATAACTATTAGCAGTGTCCGCGTGTTCTTCTCGAAACAGTTTAAGGCGGATGTCAAGTGCATGCTGTTGAGAATCTAGTGCTGCGTTGAAATTTCCAAGTGAATGTTGAGTAATGCCAAGGCTATCATAACTATTAGCAGTGTCTGCGTGTTCTTCTCCAAACAGTTTAAGGTGGATGTCAAGTGCATGCTGTTCAGAATCTAGTGCTGCGTTGAAGTTTCCAAGTGAATATTGAGTGGCTCCAAGGTTATGATAAAACTTAGCAGTGTGTGCGTGTTCTTCTCCAAACAGTTTAAGGCGGATGTCAAGTGCATGCTGTTTAGAATCAAGTGCTGCGTTGAAGTTTCCAAGTGAATGTTGAGTGACGCCAAGGCTATGATAACTATTAGCAGTGTCTGCGTGTTCTTCTCCAAACAATTTAAGGCGGATGTCAAGTGCACGCTGTTTAGAATCTAGTGCTGCGTTGAAGTTTCCAAGTGAATGTTGAGTAATGCCAAGGCTATGATAACTATTAGCAGTGTCTGCGTGTTCTTCTCGAAACAGTTTAAGGCGGATGTCAAGTGCATGCTGTGTAGAATGAAGTGCTGCGTTGAAGTTTCCAAGTGAATGTAGAGTGACGCCAAGGCCATGATAACTATTAGCAGTGTCCGCGTGTTCTTCTCCAAACAGTTTAAGGTGGATATCAAGTGCACGCTGTTCAGAATCTAGTGCTGCGTTGAAGTTTCCAAGAGAATGTTGAGTAGCTCCAAGGTTATGATAACTATCAGCAGTGTCTGCGTGTTCTTCTCCAAACAGTTTAAGGTGGATGTCAAGTGCACGCTGTTCAGAATCTAGTGCTGCGTTGAAGTTTCCAAGTGAATGTTGAGTGGTTCCAAGGTTATGATAACTATTAGCAGTGTCTGCGTGTTCTTCTCCAAACAGTTTAAGGTGGATGTCAAGTGCATGCTGTTCAGAATCTAGTGCTGCGTTGAAGTTTCCAAGTGAATGTTGAGTGGTTCCAAGGCTATGATAACTATTAGCAGTGTGTGCGTGTTCTTCTCCAAACAGTTTAAGGCGGATGTCAAGTGCATGCTGTTCAGAATCTAGTGCTGCGTTGAAGTTTCCAAGTGAATGTTGAGTGGTTCCAAGGTTATGATAACTATTAGCAGTGTGTGCGTGTTCTTCTCCAAACAGTTTAAGGTGGATGTCAAGTGCATGCTGTTTAGAATCTAGTGCTGCGTTGAAGTTTCCAAGTGAATGTTGAGTGGTTCCAAGGTTATGATAACTATTAGCAGTGTCTGCGTGTTCTTCTCCAAACAAATTAAGGTGGATGTCAAGTGCATGCTGTTCAGAATCTAGTGCTGCGTTGAAGTTTCCAAGTGAATGTTGAGTGGTTCCAAGGCTATGATAACTATTAGCAGTGTGTGCGTGTTCTTCTCCAAACAGTTTAAGGTGGATGTCAAGTGCATGCTGTTTAGAATCTAGTGCTGCGTTGAAGTTTCCAAGTGAATGTTGAGTGGTTCCAAGGTTATGATAACTATTAGCAGTGTCTGCGTGTTCTTCTCCAAACAGTTTAAGGTGGATGTCAAGTGCATGCTGTTCAGAATCTAGTGCTGCGTTGAAGTTTCCAAGTGAATGTTGAGTGGTTCCAAGGTTATGATAACTATTAGCAGTGTCTGCGTGTTCTTCTCCAAACAGTTTAAGGTGGATGTCAAGTGCATGCTGTTTAGAATCTAGTGCTGCGTTGAAGTTTCCAAGTGAATGTTGAGTGGTTCCAAGGCTATGATAACTATTAGCAGTGTGTGCGTGTTCTTCTCCAAACAGTTTAAGGCGGATGTCAAGTGCATGCTGTTCAGAATCTAGTGCTGCGTTGAAGTTTCCAAGTGAATGTTGAGTGGTTCCAAGGTTATGATAACTATTAGCAGTGTGTGCGTGTTCTTCTCCAAACAGTTTAAGGCGGATGTCAAGTGCATGCTGAAGAGACTCTAGTGCTGCGTTGAAGTTTCCAAGTGAATGTTGAGTGGTTCCAAGGTCTTGGTAGCACGCTGCAAGTGCTTCCTTGTGTACCCGATACGAGGGTGTTTTTTCACTACACCGATCTAGAGCTTTTTGATGGAAAATAATTCTCATTTGACACTGTAATGTGGTGTCTTCCATTTCATCTAAAACAGACAGAAGCTGCCTATGAAATTTACAGACACCTTCGGAGATGTGCTCTTCTCTTTCGATCTGGCTCAGCATGTCATGTAAAATATTTGTGAAATGTTGTTTAGTTTCAGCATTTAAGAAATTCTGCATGGTCTGGCTTACGATAAAGATTATTTCCAGTTTTAAAGGGTTGTCAGAAACGCCGATAATACCTCTTCGATTTTCTGTCACATTGCCAAGTTTCCTTCCTTCCTCTTGTTTTAAAGATAACAACGGCAGTTGGTCTGTATCTCCCGCTGCATTGCCAAGTAATTCATTTAATTCCGTCGAAGTGTTTTGAAATTGGGAAAATATTGCAAGGATTTGACGAGTAATGAGTGTAAGACTTTTCTGATCTGGACTTCCATTAAACATCTGAAGAGAGTCTTGCAAATTCCGAATTCCATCTTCCGTCTTGCGGTTAACAAGGTGGTTGATACCTAAATAACACAGACGTTTTCCTTGTAGTTCTGACATGGAAATTGAAGGCAGTGAAGCTTCAGCTTCAGCTTCCTTCGCTCTACAAAGCATCTGCACCGTGCTTCCCTTTGCACCCCAACATGCTTCTCCAAACGCCTTTGAGACAAGTAATCGACTATAAGACTCGTTTGTCTCAAATCTCTTCGTAGCCTCAATTGCTGAATCGTATATCTTGTTAAAGGTTGATGCTTCATTAAAAAAAAGAGTAGCAAGAAACAACTCTCCCTTAGATAACACATCAAAAAGAGTGCTAGCTGTCTTCGCATTCGCAAGCGTATTTAAAAGGCTTTGAACAATACTTTGCCCATCTTCATAGAATTTAAGAAACGCTGTCATTGAATGACCAGTCAGAAACTGCTCATTTAGCTTCTGAAAAAGGGACACGTAAAACGCGTTCAATCGTTCCTTTGATTTAAGGACCGTGTCTTTCATTTCATTTTCTCCTTTTTCTCGTGCAAAAGATTGTAGCAGCTTGTGCATCGTAAATACCTCTTGTTTCTCATCTAAATCAAGAAGGGACTTTCTCCGAAGGCCGTGCAATAGCTTCTTGGCCTGAAGATTGTTTTCGTCTAAAACAGCAGCAGCGACCTCCGTACCAAAATTCTCTGGAAGAATACTCAATGACACTAGTGCCTTTTTCTCCTGTGCAGTGAGCCTCTCAAAAGATAACTCAAAAAGAGACTGTAATCTATACTCGTCTGGGTAATCTGGCCTGTCTAACATCTCGGCGATACTCGCTGTGGAGGCGAACTGCATGAATTCATCGAGATATTGGCTTGGTTGAGCCTCACCTTCAGAAACTGAGGAACACAATAACTTTATTGCGAAGGGTACAAATCCACAGATTTGCAAGATTCGTGTACAGTCTGAAGAAGTTGCTGTCGGAAGAAGGGCTTTTACTAAAGTCTTTGCAGAGTCTTCATCCAATGGTCTGATTCTTACACTCTCGTGGCCTTGCAAATCCACATTCAGAAAACCTAGCGATTCTCTCGTTGTTAAAGCAAATATGGTCGCCTTACTTCGCCTGAGAATTTCTTTCAATAGTCCTATGACCTCTTTCTTCACGCCTGGCTCACCATCTTCTAATAAATTATCAGCATTATCAAGAATGAAAATAGATCGATCGGAAATTTCGCTTAAAAGTAGGCAAAGCTGATCATCTGGGGATGGATACGACAGGGATGGATGGTCATTTCTGACAGATGGCTTAACAAGGCTTAGAAGCTTTGAAGTCAGATCTGTTTTTGACTTCAGTTCACGTAATGAAAGCCAACAGACCGGCATTCCTTTAGACTGGAGATCGTGTCCCACTGTAATCGCAACCGATGTTTTTCCAAATCCAGGTGAACCCCAGATCGTCACGAGCCGAGTAGATTCAGAAGTCAGGTGACCAGTAATCTCCTCACACTCGCTTTGACGTCCAGTGAAATTAGGGACCATTGCAGGAAGGGAAGGTATGGATAGCGATGGTCTCACACCTGTAACAGCAATAATATATGGTTTCGTATTTTTAAGAGTCTTAAGTAAAATAAAAGTAAACAAATTTGGCGACCCTTTTCTCGACCGCTACCCATTTAGTTCTGTTTACGCCTACTGCGTGAAATAAAACCTTTGCTGGTTTGAGTTCCTATAAACTTCCGTAAAGGGAAACGTCCGCCTCATGTAAGGGAATCCAGATTTCGGAATCCGGGAAAACTTTGCTTATGAAATCTGGAATCCTGGGTTTTGGAATCCGGAATACAACTTAAGGAATCCGAAATCCCACTAACGATTGGAATCTGGAATCTAATACCTAGAATCCAGAATCCACAGCGTGGAATCGAGAAACTAAGACTGTCTTGGATTCCCTTGCATGGGGCAAGAAACATGAACTACAGCCAAGTAGAACCCCAGTAACTCGAACTCTAAAGGAAAACGAAAAACAGTTAAAACAGTTTCGAGGTAAATTTCATTGAAATTTTGATTAGGGAAAGGAAATTTTGTTCGAGTTAGCGAGGAATTCGAGTTATCCGAGTTCGAGTTATAGGGGTTCTACTGTAGTAGAGTTCACATCTTTCTTTATTTATATATATTCCTGAGTGTGAATCAAGCGCGATTCTTTTTTCGAGTTGCAAATTAAATTTGGTAATTTTGTCAAGTTTGGTGACGCTTACACTGCATGAAATGAGTGATCTGTATACGGGGGGAGGGAGGGGTTACTCCCAGATATGGGCTTGGCTTGATACAGTGGGTTAGATAGATCTGTGCCGCCCTATAGGGTATGGTTTTTGAGGGTCTCTTGGCCTTATGGCGTTGTCATCGCTGTGTGATCCTTAGATAGGGCACCGGTATTATATCAGCTAACATTCAAGTGCGTAAGTGCCCAGCTTGACGAGAAACGAATCATCTGCTAAAGCTGAACTTACTTTAGAGTATTAGGAAAGCGATGTCAGGAAGATTTATGTGTTTCCGTTAAATTCATAAGGTTTTGTTTTCTCCTTAAATTGTTTAATTGGGTGCCGTTTTTCAGCTTTGGCCCTTTAATATGGTATCAGTTCTCGTGTTTCTCATCCAGTTAAATAGGGTCAGGGTATAAATATTATTATTATTATAAGACCCTGGGAGGTACACACCGTTGACATATTTGGGAGTACCCCTCCCACCGGGAGTGCTCAGTTAGTACATAACATCGTAAACAAATACATGTAACATAAGCGTGTATGAACATAAGTGGGCATTAAGACCATTAATCCGCTTCAGGGTATGCCAAGAAACATTAACTAGTGAAACAAACTTACCTTTGTTAACATGATCATCATTTCCTTGATAGTGAGGCCATCTTTGGAAGACAACAGCATCATTCAAAATTTTGGCAACTAAAGAAGCAGCATTAGCACTTGCAAATTTGCTCCAATTTTCATTTGTATTCACGCTGCCATCTGCATAATTAGCAATTCCTTTTACAACAAGCCATTCAACTCGCAGGTCAAATGCAGCTGTGTAAAATCCTGCAACAGAAACACGCCGCTCATAAACAGGGCCATCTATAGATGAGAAATAGACTTGTAAGGCGGGATGTCAAATAAATAAAAAGGTGCGTTATCACAACCTGTAAATTCAGTCAGGTTTCTGAATCGAAACAGGTTTTCCTTGCTACTCTTCAAGGCTAAATCAAAATCGCTATACCAAAGGCTACTGTGATGGCAACAAAGGGATGCAAGGTATGCTAAAGAATAGTTGTCTTGGAAGAAACATATGATTCTGACGCTGAAACCAGCCTTACATGACTCACAGATCGATCCGCGCCGCTTCAATCACTTATAAAGCCTAAAAATCTAACTACCTTGGTAAAGTTACTTGAAAACGCAATGTTTATCTAACCTGTACTTCTCTAAAGCACTCGGTGAAAGGCTACAAGGGTCACTTTGGACTATACATACGACGAGTGTCGATGCAGTGATCCGACTACTTTTTAATGGAGGAAAAACGCTCAATTGTATTTTATTCCCGAGCAGTTAGAAAACCCAAATGAAAGAGACAAGTATTTTTACCCATACAGGTATCGCCAATCGCTTAGGGTAGCGGCTAAAGGGATATAGAGAAAGAAACCAAACGCCGTCACACTATGTTGATGACAACGTTCAGTCACTATAGCTGTTGCTAGAATTGATCGCCTATTTTAGTATAGTCTGTCTTAGAGGTCAACTAAAACTGAACCACACCCAGATTGGTCTCCCCGAGAGGTTTAGCTCTATTTTCTGACGATATTCCCGGCGAATCCCCGTAGCCTGAGACCAGGTTTCACAGTGGGGGGGCGGGGGGAGGGGGAAGGAGAAAAAAAATATTCAGCGATCAAAGACCATCAAAGCGATTCGAACGGGAGTCTGGGAAGGGGACAAAATGGCAGTGCGAGGTGGCGCCGCACCCCCCCCCCCCCTCCCCAGTCCATTGCTAGGCTCGCTTCGCTTGCCGATTTGTTTCAGCTCTTTCACCGCTTTTTTTTTGCCTTTTGCCCCCTATTACGGAGCCTGACCCAGGCTACTTCTCCTGGGATTTCATTACCTTCGGCTTCAGAGTCAATGGCTACTGCTTGAGGAAAGGTTTCAGCCAGCTGTTTACGCCGCCATTCTGCATTGATTACTTCTGGAACGCTCAACAGCTCACCGCTGCTGTGAATTTTGACTTCTCGATCTTCTGAGTTCTTCAAAGGAGCCTCCCATCCAAGTGCTGCATCCTTAATGAGGTCAAGAAATCGTTTACTAGCAAACGTTCTTATATTATTGTGCAGCTCTCTTTCGTTTGTCACTACCTTCAATCCATATGTTGTCAACTTTGCAGATATTACAACATCACCCAATTTGGTTTCCTCAGGACGAAGGCTACTGCAGGTTCCAACTAAAATCACTGCTTTGGGCATAAGCATTGAGACAGCATTTTTTGTAGTTACTATGGAGCCTCCTGGACCACCAGAACCTTCATGACATCGTAATAAGGCGACTTTTACTTTCTCCTCTTGGCCTTCATTCTCATCCTCGAGATAAACAAAACCGACATCATCAAACCAACATCTGAATGGATTGTTCAGGTGCATATAGCAAGCTGAGAACTCACAGTCCTTTACAGTCAGTAACAAAATGTCGACAGGAAGGCGTGCATGATTCCGAAGCTTTGTTGGTACCTGGATATCACTCATGCGGGGAAGTTTAACACCAAGCTGGGGCGGGTTTTCACTGGCGTCAGTGTTCTTCCTCTTAGTTCCCCTATTTGCGCCATCTGAGATATCTTCTTCTTGTGCGTTGCTGCCAAAGCCCTTTGAAGGGTTTGACATTTCGCTCAATTCAGACTATCTGGCATATAAAGAGTACATAAACTGTCACACGTTTGTATAAGAAAGATTAGCAGGGAGAAGGCGTCTGTACACAGCTAAAGAAAGATTTTATTTAAAATAGTCAGTGAAATTAGGAGCCTGTGTGGGGCCGCCCCATCTCCTCAAAAACAATCGGGGAAACAAAAACACGATTAACGAGCGGCGCGACAAAGACGTCTTTCTCCCCGATTTTGGTTGAGAGGAGGGGGCAGCGGTACACAGAACCAGCGATCACAGTGCAGTATCAATTGGCGGTGGATGACTTTGAAAAGTTTTGCAATAAATTTCTCAGAATTTCCAGATAAATTCTCTCCGATTGTAAAGAATGGGACGGTATTGTTTTTTGTACAAAGCGAAGTATTTCCTTGTCCTCTCTAATAATTCCCCGCAGAGGACCTAAATTATCTCGGAATACTCTCAAGTCGCTTTTTACGTGTTTTCGTCTTGTCATTTTGTTTTGAGCGCTCTGTTGATGTTGAGTTTAAATTGAGGGTTTTAACTGTTTATTCATAGTTTACAGCATGGATTTGCGATTTTAAGCTTCTTCAAGGAATTTTAAAGTTCTGTCCTGGCTCTGGGATAGGAGCATTTGTAAAAATGTTTTTACAGACAGAGCTTTGCACAGTCATCAGAGAAATTACTGCTATAAATTCAATGTGCACAGCATTGTTATTTTTTTCTTCTTACTTCATTTAAAGCGAAAGTTCTCAATTAGCTCATAACACGACAATGACGTTTATTGGGTGCGGAGCCCTCCAGGTATCACACTTGAGCGGCGGCCCCGGTACAAATTCAGACTTTCAGAGATGTCGTTTGTGTGCCTCCTACCTTTTGTTTGACTGTTCGCGCGTACTTGAGAGATCAAATGTACGGACTGTTTGCAATCTACAAATCCCATTGCGGTAGAAAATAGAAAGTTAAAGCTATTATTATCGCTTACAAGTTTCCTCACGTGCCGTCCTTTTTTCTTTTGAAATATGGCACTGTAAAAAAATAAGAAAATACTATAGATTTTAGTAAGTCCAATAGACTTTCTAAAAGTCCTTTAAGAGAAACGTAGCCAATATCCAGCCATAATGACCTCATGGTTGGTCAAACATAAAGGATTTATTATGTGGCCAAAAGAGAACTTTTCTTGCGGGATCGAAGCGGGAAATCCCGAGCGGACAAGCTGAATCCATGATGACCCTTTGGGTAATCAATCGGAGCATAGGATTCACACCATCCTGCCCTAGTATCCAGTCATCGAGGCCATAGAAGTTTGTTTAATACGCATACAAATTGTTGCCGGGCTCTTCTCCAAATGCTTTTGTACCTATTTCATCTCAGTCTGTTTTTATTTCTCCAAATTGGTTCATCAAGGTGCGAAGCGCGCCAGCAGACCTTTTGTTTTGCTGTTTTGAAATCTAATACCTGACCGATCCATGAGAATGTTTTGAACAAACTTTTTGCCGGTGAACCTTAGCGGCCTACCAGTTCAGCAAGATTATTATGTTCCGTTTTTCGGTTTCTTATAAGCGATATTAATTTTTAACTTGTGGGGATTACGCGTAGCGTAAGAAACAAGTTTTTGTGGGCACTGCGATATGCATGTGTGTCAGTGACTCGGGAGTAGAAACCGTTCTTAGTTAGTCGGCTCCGCACTAAAACGCCCGATATCAAAACGACAACTGTCGTAGATCGATCTTTCCCGTTCCGCGATTAAGAAGGGCTGAGCGTGTATTATGCCCAGAGCTTTTGATGTTGTGATATTGTACCTTCACAGGACGATAAGTTGTCTTCATGTGGACTTTGAATGTTTAAAATTAGCACTTTGCCCAACTTTTTTGACTCATTCAGACGATAAACATGACAAAAGATCAGCAATTGCTCTTCGACTCCCAAGCTGGCTCAAGCTCACGATTCTGTGTGAGTCTCACGATTTTTTAACTTTTCTCACGACAAGACTCCCAATTTCATGGTTGTTAGTGAAATATCATTCTGAAATTAAATGTTTCTTTGTTCAATCGAAAAGGAAATGTTTGCCGTTGCTGAATCGTACTGTGATTCTCCGCCGTCAGCAAGAGACTTCGCGACGGTTTTGCGCGCATGTTTTACATTAGTCGTCGTGGCACAATAGATAATGCGCTACCCTTACACGTTCGACTCCCATCGGAAGAAGCCTTTTTTTCTTTTTTCTTGGTCGTTTTGTTTTTGTTTTTTTTAAACATATTTTCATTTTTTAACAGACTTAAATTGAATTGCAAGTCAATTATCAGCTTTCATTTCTAAAATAATTAATCCACAAGTTAACCTTAGGCACCATTTGGTCTAGTTTTGTCCGAGGTTATCAGTTTCGGCGATCCGTGAGCCCGCGGCCATAAGTGCGGGGGTCGATCTAGGATCAGCTCTAGTGTTACGTCATTTTCTGAATCTTGGGGGTGGGGTGGGGGTAGGTTCAGCAAACGGAAATTCCGACTGCAATTTCAAAAATAATCCTACGATAACTTATTTCGAGGGCTAAAAAATAGTTGTCTAGGAGAAACTGCGCTCTCACCCACCTACAATCATCGTCAAAAGTGTTGGGAAGGTTGCCCTTTTTACCTCTTCTTTTCCTTCCTCCCCCGCCCCTGGCCCAATGTTGATCAAAGCGTTAATGTTTGTGCGCGTAATTGTTCTGTTATATCCCAACATTGAATAGGGGGGACGGGGGATATTTAGCAAAAGAGACAACTCTCTTGGATTAAAATGGACTACTGTTAAGTTGTACAACCTTCCCAACTACTTTTGTCTGTGATTGTAGGTTAGCCCTGCTTTTTACAGGTAGAGTAGTTCGCAAATTGTAACTTTTGTCGTTAAAATTAACTAATCTAATTGCTATTATATAACCCATATACTAAGGAATTCTGGGATTGAAACTAGCCGACGACACGGTGACAGCCGTGGTTAGTGTTGAATAAAAACGGTATGCAACAGAGTGTTTAGGGTTAGCAATCGTTACTTGCATCGGCAAGCTAGAGTTACCTTTTAATTAATCATAACCCATAGCTCTCAGTTTCGTCAGAACATGCGTGCGTTTCTCCCATTTTAAACTGGACTCGCTGCAGCTGCAAGAATTTGCTGACGCTGTTACTCCTAGCCTGTTAACGTCCCTCAGCGGCGATGAGCGAGGAGAAGCGTCTGCCGTTCGCAGGCTATGTTACTCCCTCCAAATCACCTAAAGAAGGTAGAGTAAGTGCAAGGTCATCAAAACTATCAACAGTGCGTTCTTGTTCTTCTCCAAACAGTTTAAGAGCAGTGCATGCTGATAACGAACTAGGGGCGCGTGGAAGTCTGCAAGTGAATGTTGAGTGGCTCCAAGGTTATCACGGATAACTATCAGCAGTTACGTGTTCTTCTCGAACAGTTTAAGGCGGATGTCAAGTGCATACTGTACACTTTGGGTGAGGAGGTGCGGCCCGGCCCCTCATACCCTGACCCTGTTTGAGACAAAAATCTCTGATTTTCCTACCCTAGCTGTTTAAGACAGAATTCCGAGTTTTGATACCCTGTTTAAGACATTTAACCCAAAACCATACCCTGTGTAAGACAATAATAAATATCGAAAGTCTTTCTTATCTAATCCATTATTTTGGCAATCACAAAACTATTTACAGCTTGATCAACAGAGTCACGCAGGCTGTTTATCGTCCAAGAAAAGATACCCTGTTTAAGTCAAAAATTGATAAAATCGATACCCTGATTAAGACAAAAAATGATAAAATCCAGGCCCGTAGCAGGGGGAGGGGCAGGGGGGGCTCGAGCCCCCCCCCAAATTTTCAGACTTGAATAAAATTCTGCTGCAAAAGTGGAATTTTTCTACTAAAATGGACAGCTGTCAATGGAACCTAAAATTTCAAAGTATTGTCGATCATAGTAAGATTATGTACTGTTGTTCTTCTGGGCCCAGTTGTTCAAAGGCCGATTAGTGCTTAACCTGGGGTTAAATTTAACCCGGATTTCTTTTTCTTGTGTTCAAAAGCATTTTATCGGATAATTTTCTCTGTTATTTTTAAAGCTTCCAATCAACCTGTAGACAAAAAGAATTGAAACTGAAATGCTTTTTAAGCTTTCAAATCTGCATTCAAATCTTGCACTAACCCTGGGTTATCTTAACCCAGCTTTGAACAACTCAGCACTGTACAATTTTGGAATTGTGTAAATGAACAAAATCGTATTTTTGCTCTGCCAAAAACAACAAACAGCTTTAAGGTATCAGCCACCCTTAAAATTGCCATTTTTCCATATTTGAGGTTTCAACGTTTTCAAATAGATATGCTTGAGAGCTTTCTTTTAAAAAAAAAATTAGAAGAAAATATTATTTCTGTCGAAAGATATCGGGGGTAAAAGATTTTTCTCGTTAATTATCTTAATTGATCGTTGACAAGATCTGTCATACCCGTGTCATATATCAATTAACTTGCCCGTGAACTAGTAACGTGATACCGAGTGCGTGCTTCGACACAACACGTGCGAATTGTCTTCGCGTTGTTTATAGCCTTTAGTATTCTCCGTGGATATTTAGCGTTTGCCGCCAAAAAAAAAGAAAATTTCGTCATCGAAATTGAGAGCGAAAAGGAAATCGAAGAGCGAGTTTGACAAAGAATGGGCCGCAAAATTGGCAGAGAGCGACAAAGGCTCATTTTATCAGCAAGAGAAGTGGCTCGAGGAGTTGGATATTCAGAAAAGCGAAAATGTTGCAGTTGCTGATCATGAGAGTGCAAGCCGCTCCAAAATCCAGCTTGAAGAGCCAGATGAAGAAAGCCAATTAAGCTCATCGACCCCATCTGCTGATGGAACGGGGAAAACAATAAGCGGTCGAGCTATCGTATCGAGCGAAAAGCTGTTTGAGAAACTGGACGAGTCTGTATCTTGTCGATTTTGCCAGGGAAGAGTCCAAGTCATGGAAAATGTAGCGACTAAGCATGGACTTGGTTCTACCTGGAGAATCCAGTGCGAGAATGAAAGCCGTCCGTCGCACAAGACAAATTCTGTTTTTAGTTCTTCCGAGAAGAGGAGAGCGTTTGAAATAAACCGGGCCTCAGTTCTTGGCCTTCGAGCAATCGGTGGTGGACATTCGGCGGCTTCAAAGTTTTTTTACTTTCCTTGGCCTGGCGCCGATCGACAAAAACGCCTGGGCGGATCATACAAAAAAGATCGAAGGAGAGGCAAAACTTTTGCTCGAGAAAGAATTAAACCGTGCTTCTCGTGGTGTAAAAGAGTGGAAGTTTTCCAACGGAGAATTAAACTGTTCCCTTGCTTGCCGCGAACGTTTGTTCCTGTTACATGTTACCTGTCAAAGTCCTATTGTTAGAGAAAATTGATCCCTCTCTGATATCAATCAGAATAAACATTTAGGTGTTATAATCTCATTCCAGGTAGGATGCCGCCAAAAATGTATTTTCTATTTTATCTCCGAACGCAAATTTTGCCGATCGACTCGTACGTTTTGAACTCCAAGTCGGCAGCCTTTCAATCAATTTGGCTAAAATTTGGCCAGAGTGATGCCATATATCTCTTCTACAAAACCGTGTCTGCGAATTTTAATACTCCTTTTCATTTTAAAGCTAGAGCTTTTTTTCCACGGGGAGTGTTGACTAATTGCCTTTCCCAACTTCATTTGCTAATAAAAGAAAAACAAACGCACTTGTCAAAAATCTGAGACACGGTTTTTTAGTGAAACGTGTTGAGAAGCGAATGCGGTGTTGTTTTCTTCCGTTTATTTCGGGCGGGAGTGGAACATGATTTATAGAGAAGCGTACTTTTACACAAAACGTTCCAATTTCGAAACACATTTAAGTAAATCGTTTTTGTTAGTTCAAATCCATAATCTGGAATTATTAAGCTTTTAAAAAATATATGGTTTATAGGGGTTTTTATAAAAACAACTAACGCTACAGCGATCCGCGCGCGGACGGTCCTGAAGGGTGGCTGATACCTTAAAATATCTGCTTATTAAGCATCAAAATAGTCAGAAGCAAAATCATAATGAATCGAAATGCACCAATGACAATCCCTGAACGTGACCTCTTGAACTTTATTGGTTTCCTATGAGGTTCGCCAGTGTAAAATATACTACTGTACTAGATTAAAACTTAGGTTTTTGCGCGTTTATATTGGAAGTCTTACAATGTCTTCGCAAGAGCCGCCGAAAAAGAAATCCAAACAAGTCGAAAATAAGCAGGGAACACTTTTATTGTGGGTAAAACCATGCAATAGTGACGCAGAGCCTGGTGTAGTCGAAGAAACAATCCAAATCAAAGAACAACCCGGAAATGAAAATGATTTGGAGCCACCGACAACAATAGCTGGCAAACAGGAAACGACAAAGAGGCAACTCAGCCCCCCAGGTCAAGTCTTTGTTAACGTATCAGATAGTCCATTTGCGCTCAACAACGGGAGACTCTAGACTGAACCACCTCTCGATGTTATATGTTCACAAGGACAGAACAGATGCTCTGACCCTTGTAGACGTAGCTAATGACTTCGTTGGGAAGAAAGAAAACCGAAAGCAATTGTTGGGCAAATTTTATTAATAATAATAATATAGATTCTTATACAGCGCATTTCTATCCTCAATGCACTTTACATTATGAAAGCCGATTAAAAATCATTACATTTCTAGCCCATGTGACATTATACATCAAGTATTGTAAAAAAATTGTAAAACTTTAAAAATCGTAAAATGTTAAGAATGAAAATCAATTGTGATATTGTACATCAAGATTGGAAAACTTTAAAAAACCCTAAAATGCTATGTTTATAAAAACTTATAAAACTTATAAAAAAAAAAAAGCGAAAGATATCCCAAACAACTTCTTTATTTCGTCAGTCAACACAAACGGAAAACAAAATGTATTGTAGACAAATGTAGTAATCTGACATGTACCAAGAAGTATGCTTTAACCAAGGGACCGAAGCGGGGGTTAATGTGGGCCACTCGCTCAGCCCCCCAGTCATTTTATGCTTGCTACGGGCCTGAAATCGACACCCTGTTTAAGACAAAAATCCTGAAAAACATACACTGGCTGGCCGCCCGTCCCCATTAAGCCCTTATAAGGGAGTACCCCCCCCCCCCCAGGGGCTGTACAGAATCTTTTCAGTTATGTGTGTGTTTTGTGAGTTCGATGTCCGAACTGATATGGCCACTACAAAATCTGCGAACGGTCATGGTTCAAGATGATTTAGGTTTGCAGACTTGGAGAGTTAATATTTTTCCTTGGTATACTTTTCACAAGGAATCAGTATTAATTAGAGTTAACTCAGAATATGGAAATACAGTCGAACCTGTCTATAACGGCCACCCTCGGGACTTGAGGAACTGGCCGCTTATTTCAGCTTGATTTACACACACTGTAAAAACTGACCAGTTATAGTGACCTCAAAAAAATGGTTAAGGTTTGAATCCCAGGTAACCAACCGTATTTTATTAGGTTACAGTAACCAAAAAAAAATAGTTCAGGTTAAGCATTTTTTATTCCCGTTGAAATAACTTTTCTTTATGGGTTACATTAACCCTTAAAGATGGTTGTTTGTACCACAGCCCACGCCACTTCTTATGACTTGTTTGTCATAACCTCTACTTTTTGGTTAAACTAACTTTAAATTTTTAGTTGTTATAACCGAAATAAAAAGATAAATATGTTTCAACTCATACAGATAAGTTATAATAACCATTTTTTGTGGTCATGGTAAACCAGTTTTTTGGGTACTAATGATGAATCTGTGGTAACCCATTTAAAATAGTCAAGAGGTGGTAGCTTTAACCATTCCATTTGGGTTAGAAGAAAACGGTTGTTTTAACTGATAATAATGAATTACATTAACCTCACAATAATAGTCTTCAGCAACATTTTTAATGGTTATGTTAACCGTTCTCTACAAACAACAACAACAACATAGTTGACCACGAACTTCATAAAAAAGATAATCATACAACATTGCAAGTAAAAAATGCTTATGTTTCTTAATTCAAGTATTTAAAGCAGAACAAGGAATGATTAAACAATCAACCCTGCTTCCTAAACTATGGCAAATTTAAATTGGAATACTGCATGTCTCTCACAATACTGCAAAACAAGACTTCGTACACTGGCATATGATTGTAAAACAGAAACATCCTTAAGCAGGAAAAAATTCAAGTAACTCCAGGATCAATAGTGATACAGTACTTTGATTAAATTAAACCCTTAAGGTATAAGTGCCTTTCCTGCCAAAAATGCTTTGTCAAATACATTGGGAATTAAGAATTTCGTGAGATTCAATGAAATAATAATTGTAAGATCTTGCCATTGAAGAGTTAACTCCTCACCAATTGTACATGTAACTTTCTTTCTTTGGCTAATGATTGAAGCGGAGCATATGATCTAAAAGCACCAGTGCCCTTCACTGTTCTACAAGCCATGTTTTTCTACTAGATAGCAAAAAAACATCCTATTCCAAGCAGTGGCTCGTTGAGGGTAACTCATCCGCCGGATCAGGACTTGTCTTGCTTGTAATGAAAATATGGGTACTCGCCGAGCTTCATTCAAAGTTGTTTATTCCCTCAGTCGTTCAAATTTGGTGATATTTCTGAAATAAACGAAAATATTTCGTTTTTAAGTTCACTGGTTAACGCAGGAAAAAGTTCAGTCTTTCAGCGATACGCCTGTGGGGAACACGCACGCACGCGTGTGCGTGGTCATCGTGAGCAACGCGCGACTCAAAGCTACGTTAAAAAAAAAGCTTTGTAATAGCGTATGATAGCTCTGTAACAGCCGTACAGTATTGCAATTAAGATGGTCATCCGAAGACCGGAAAATCTATGCAACTGTACTGAACATTTAGAAAACTTTAAAGGGCCACGCAAGTGCGTGGGGTTGTCTCAAAACGCGTCTATTTATTGGCAAAAAGATAATTTTAAAAACGATTTAGAGTTCTGTTTAAAAATAAGCAATACATACCGGTCATGTTGTTTCAGTGAAGGTCGGTGAAACAAGTCTCCGAGATTTTGCCTGTGTTCATTTGTCTTTAGTCGACGGGGCAGATATTTTGCTTATCTATTTCAGGCGGTCAACTGAAGTAAATTCTGTCATGATCTTCTTATCATCCTCCTTTGAATAAAAGAATTGCAAGGTATTCGTTAGCTAAGAATTTTGTAGAACCAGTGAAGACTGAAATTCAAGTGAGTAATCTATTCTGAAGACGTTGTCTTCCGACTACCTTGTGAGCAGAGTCTCCTTCGATCTTCCTAGATAAGAAGATCGAAGGAGACTCTGCTCGCAGGGTATCTTCGGACTTGCATAAATTTGAAATGACATTACCTTTTTACTTGCCACATCTCCATTGCTGTCCGTGACTAAGAAACGAGCTCCCATTGACTTTTAACTGAGGGCCTTTATCCAGGCGAAATATAAAATGTTTCTTTTCGCAGCAATGAACCAAGAGTACGTACTGAATTCAGCTTGGCGCAAGGCGGTTAAACTAAAAAACTGAACTATGAGAGCCGAATTTGGCATTGATTTTGAAATTCCAAGTCTCTCATTGGCTAGCTAAGTAGATTAACGTCAAGGTGTTAAGTAACATACTACAGTTGACAGGAAACAATGCAACTTTTTCTAAAAGCCCTTAGTTGTCTTTCGAGTAAACTCACCTAACATGTTTCCAACCATGAAATAGTTTAAGCTTATAAAAAGGTTACTGAGTAAGACTTTTAATTTACTGAGAACATTTAACGCCATTTAGGGTTCGTGACGTGACGAAATAGAGTTACTTTAGGTCACTTAAGATAAATACCGGAAACCCGCTGGAATTTTGTGACCGGTGAAAAACACGAAAGTATTTTTTGAAAACACGCGAGGATAGATGTTGGCTTTTCGAGGTGCTCAGCATTGATTTGAATGACATAACCTGTACAGGACATCTTGAAGAATCATTTCACCTAGATGACGATTAGTTCTCTCGGCTAATCCGTCGAGGGAAGCGTCAGAGAAGAAAATAGTCCTCGCGTCACGCGACTTCGCCTCTCGCGCGCGCGTACCAGCCCAGTCATCGGAAGCAAGACTCGAGTTGGATGCAAGTCATTTAAAATATTTTAACTGTTGGGGAAAGTTGATTTGGCTATTCAATCTTAACCTATCCTAAATCCCATAATAAATGCTGATTATTTGTTCTTTCTTCAGCGTAAGGGAAAAGTCTGCGTTTAAGGTTGGGTACAAGGCTTTTATGATCTGTTGTTGTAAACTCATACCCGCCGTTTGTGTAGCCATTTCCTTCTGTGGTTTTCCGTTCAGTTTAACCCCTCGGAAAAGTCAGTTTTGACCATTCAGTGTTTAACCTACTTCATAGCTCTAAATAACAGATCATTATTGGTTAGTCATGACCAACAAATAGTTAATAAAAGATTTTAACCAACTGATTTCAGGTTAGATGCACATTTTTACCATTTGCTTAACCGTTTGGTTTCGTTATTTTGACTGCCATGAAAAGTTATTTTGACCTGTCGATATTCTAACGGAATTATAACCGTCAAAACAACTGCTGATCATTGGTTAATCTAACCAATAATATAAAGGTTACGATTTTAACTAGTTTATTTTAGGTTAAAATTACCTTTTGCAACTGGTTATAACCTTTTAATATAGTTACCATAACTGGTCTGTTTTTACAGTGCAAACGTCACGATTCCTTATTTTAATGGTTTTCCTTATCCTTAATGGTTCGCAACTTATTTTGAATTGGCTCTGAGTACAATTACGCTCAACTTCATTGTTTAGATCTCGACTTGTGATTGGCTAATTTCAAAATTTGTCTCAAAATTTTGTCCGGGTGGCCTCGGTTCGTGTGGTCGCACTGTAATCACTAAAAATACTCACTGGACGTGGTATAATGTCAATTTTAATAACGTATCATTACCAAAACACTTCATGCAAGGAAACAATTGGAGCGTGCATATACGTAACATTGTGTGAAAGAACTGTGTAATAAATTGTCCTCTACTCTTCTTCGGTATACCGTATTTTTATGACTTAAAGTCCACTACAAAATTTCTCACTCACTCCATCATTTCATAGATGTTACGTTCAATGTGCAGCCTTTACAAAAAAAAAACATGAATGGAACAAAATCGTTCAATTGATCCAGCGTTGAAACAGCCAAGGCGATTTGAAGTTTTGTTTCTTTATTCACAGTCGAACCTGTATGTAACGGCCCTGACTATTAAGCGGCCAGTCCCGATTTTTCGCTTATAGAAACACTGTTTTTGCTACCTGTTTTAGGCGGCCAACTCTATTAAGCGACTGCGGCCACCCTGTATAGGTCCTACGTTTTTCTTTCGTTGTTAATTTTACCTGTATTTAGCTGCCACCCTTGAACGGAAACTAAGCCATATGTAATTTTGTGCTGACTTACGCAGTCGGGTCCGAGTTGATATTCGGGGCCGATTGGAAAAAATGGGACCCGAAAACCGGTAAGCATCCATTAAAAGTAGCACAGAAAAAGTAGCTTAATACACAGGAGCACCCAACGGGAAATTTTCAGAAAAAGACGTAAAAACAGCAACAAAGCATGAACAAAGCTTTCTGAAACCATTTTAAGCACTTTAGGAGATTGCTGGGAAAAATTTATCTGTTCCTCACTCCCAGCAAGACTGATGGAAGAGTTCCCAGCCAGCAAAGTGCACCTACAACCTCCAACCTCACTTACTGGGAAGTTTCCCAGCAAACGAAAGTCCAGACATTTCTGGCCAGTTTGGTTGTGGACATAGGGAAATTTCAGCCCTTCAGTGGGGGGTAGTTGGGGGGGGGGTGGTTGGCGGGTGGGTCTCAGAAATAGCACATAGCAGCTATTCGAGACACCAAAGAACCAAATCCCCTCAGACATCCTGAACTTTCTATTTCCCAGCTACAATTTCACCTTTCAAGGACATATTATTTTTTCCAAATCTCCCAGCCAGCGAAAAATTGCCTGAAGAACAGATATTTTGAGGAACAGATCCATTGGGTGTCCCTGAATACAGGGCCGTTATATACAGGTTCGACTGTAATGAAAGAAGCAAAACTTCAAATCGCCTTGGCTGTTTCAACGCTGGATCAATTGAACGATTTAGTTCCATTTGTGTTTTATTGTAAAGAGTTCCACCTCGTTCGATGACCGAACTCAATCGAACTTGGTCAAAAATAAGGCATTCGATTATTTTCAACTCGAATATTTTTTGTTAGTTCCCGGATTTGGTTCAATGGCCGCGTAAACTGTATCGAACTCATGTCTTTCGTTCGAGAGAGTTCGAAAACCAAACCTTTAGGGTAATGGTTAGAACATACGACAAGGAGCATCGGCATTGTTGCGTAACATTCAAAATATAAGGATTTGTATGGGAAAAAAACCTATCGTTTCCGTAACCTACGAAAATGAAAGGATTTCAATAAAAAACAGCTTACCTTACTTAAAATGTGTGTTACGTCTCTCCTGTGTAGTCCACGGGCCGATTTATGGCCGTTTTATGGGTTTTTATGTAAACGGTTTTCTCTCTATATAAACCTTTATATAGCATGCCTTTTGAAAGAGAAACTACTAAATTAGTTTCGCAAGCGAATTCAGTTTACTGAGTCCTCAATGGCCATGAGGGCAGGAGAGCTTAAGCTCACACCAGAAGTCTAATATGTCACCGGTTAAATCAACCAGGTTTAGCCAATTTACCAAGACTACTGAATTAAGAAGAAGAGACAAATCTCATTCTTTTCGTTGTTTCTGAAGAAAAAGGTAGCACAGAACTACTGTAGATAACTGGCATTTCTATTTCACAAATGGTACTATTAAACTCGATCTCTTTCTCAATAAATCGATTTGAGCATCATGATTTGAGGCACAACCCCGGAAATCAGTACATTAACACTCTTGAGTAATAGTTAGAACATACGACAAGGTTCCTAATAAATAATTTCATGATTATCTTACAACTTATGCACTCGACCTTAACTTGACCAAGTTTTTCTAGAGAATTTTTAACAGTAGTTGTACAGTTCCATGCCCTTCATTTATATTTCTTAGACGAACTTCGTTGGTTTTAATGTGAGCTAATGTGTTTGTGAACAAGTTAGTTTACGCGATTTACTTTGGACCAATTTCTACAGTCAAAGGCTTTCGCCTATTTATGTTGTAATTGCTTGAGTTCGATCCAAGGTTTGGCCATTATTTATGGAGACAGTTACTAAGTTTCTTTCCTGAATGCAAGTCTTCGTTCTAGGGTACGATGCAACTCTGCTGCTGAGTGCGAGCAGATTGGATAGTTATACTTAAAACTTAAAATTACCTACCTTCAAGACATCAAAGGCAAGTTAAAAGCACAATATCAGTGAGCTGATTGATCCCTTGGTTGTCTTCGTTGCCGAGATTAGGATGAAAAGCCTCAAGGAATAGCTACTTTTTGTTCTGATGAGTGAGTCTAAGTAAATAAAGGGGTTTGTCCCACAGGAAGTTACAAAATTCCACAGCTACTTATGTAGATTAGTCACGAGTTCCTTCCAAAAATAAAACAGACATTTCTGACATCGTTGCTCACAATAATTAGCTGCATGTTATCCGAAAGTAATATGATACTCTGTGTAAAAAGAAAATAAAAGTTCTTGTTTTGGCGATACTCGATTAAAGTCGTGTTGGCCTCAATGACTCATGAAAATACTTCTGCTCATTGCAAATTCTTTGAAATATAAACAGAAAGTCTACTACAAGAAGTCGTTTTGGCAGCCCTCATTTGTCACACTGGGCTGCAAAACAGTCATGTATTTCCGGGTCTGGTCTACAATCTTGGAGCCACACCCCCGCCCCCCAATTCCCGTAGCGAAATCACTAATGAAGCCGCAAGGCCAAAACGCGTCGTTTTCCCCTTCTTGAATTCTTTTTTTTTTTTTGGGGGGGTCTAAATTATCCAGCATGATGGCAACCCCCGCCCCCATCCCCCTGAAAACAAGGATAAGGTATGTGAAAGCCAAAATATTGGGGGACATAAGGGGTGGGAGGTTAATGAAAAATCTATCTATTTTGTCCAAAAACAGCTCCTCACAAGGTTGAAAATGGGAAAGAGCATTCTATGTGGGGTCCCCTCATTAGACAACAATGGCATTAGGCCACTTAGGGGGTAAACAATGCAAGCAGATAGTAGACTGCAAAAACCGTCAGTTTTTTCCTCAAAATAGATGTACTAGTAACTGTTAGTTTAATCTATTTACTGGTGAAAGAACAAGATGGGCAACTTAAACAAGAAAGTTTTAATAACAATATTCATTGAAACTGAAACAAAATAGAGGCTGCACAACAGATATGGGCAGAAATAGCACACAGCCAAAGATCAAGATTAAAATAAAAATTTTACAAAGAACAAAACTACACACTGGAATTTTGAGACTACATCTTTTTTTCTGCTGAAGGCATTTCCCTGTACACTGGTTACAGCAACAGCTCATGATGTCAGAAAACAAAGAATAAGAAGCTTAGCGTTGTTCCCCAACTGTAAAAACAGCTTAAACAATTCACTCTGAGACTCAATAATGAAGACTTGCGATCAAGTTGTAACTTTCTAGTCTGTGGATGTGACCATTCAAATGATGGTACTAACCATTCGAATGAATCAGCGATACTTTCACATTTTAAGCGCTTATTTGGTACAGTATGTTATTCTCACTTTTGAAACTGTTTGGCAAAATCCTGTGGCCATGCCAAACCTCTCCATTAGTAGTTCTCTCACATGTTTGTCAGCATTAAAGTGAGTGAGTGGGAGTGAATGGGAAAACAAAAGTGTTGCATCTGAAAAAAAATTTTTTTGAGGCTATCTGAAAAACAACTCCATAATCGTGTACAAAACTCTCATGAATGTAAACTCTGTCTTGACGTCTGATGTTGTCATTTTCCAGCCTGCTTTCTTAACATAACGTAGATATTCTCCTTTATCCATTCCTTATTGTGAGGCTCGTAATATGGCTCTTTTTGGCAGCGCCTGTTGAAGAGTAAACGAAAAAACAAACAACACAACCAAACTTTCAAGTCATCCAAATCTATTGATACTTATGAAATGTTTTTGTCGTGATAAATGGCTCAACTCTGGTGTAATATGATTTATTACTCACAGTTGACGTAAAACAAAGAAAACAAAACATCCTTAATGATGAACCCTACCCTGATAATAGTCCAAAAAGCAAGGAAAACGAATAGGGGATGACCCTGATAAATTGAAACTCTTTAGTGAGTACTTTAGTATCATGTGAGGCTACAAAAATGTCAGACCCCTAATGATGGCCAGCTTAGGGACAGAGACAATTTACAAAATTAACTCAGATATGGGATTTTTCTGGAATTTTGACTTTGGGTGCCAGGATATACATGTATTTTCTGCCTTTAATGCTTCAAAGACCATCATCAACTTATTTTCTTCAAACAACATCAATACAAAAGATTATGGAAATTAATAAAATTATCACCAAAGGGAACGAGTTTCGATCTTTTGTCAAATTCTAAAGGAACTCTATGGAGTTCAGTCTGGAGAATTTGTGTGTGGTTATTCGGGCTTAACGAGTTAAAAAAACTAACACTGTCTCATCAGACATTCAGGACATAAAAGAAATTTTTAAAAAGGAGAAATGATTGCCAAGGAAAAAACTATCTGTTGATTATTAGATTCCCCTAATTTTGAACCAAAGAAATGCATAGGGAAGAGTGCAAAGATTAATGCATTCTGATATTAGGATTTACAGAGTTTAAAGAGCATTTTAAATGAAAAGTGATCTAAAATTTATGAACAAAATGGTTCAGAATGGTACACTAAACACGTTAAGTCTGTCAGGCTGTCAATGTAGTCGAACAGTTGACTGATGTCATAAGTGATGGATGGAGTGCTTGGATTGCTTCTTTTAAGGTATTCTTCAAATATCTTGCATACACCTGAAATCAACAAAAAACAGAATTTTATTATTTATTAAAATAATTTTATTTTTTATTCTCCCATCACTCTATAATTCAAAGAATACAAAACTGTTACCCCAACATCTTTTACCGAGGCAGTGCAAGAAAAAAAACAGACCTCGCTAACGGAGCTCCCTTGGGACCAGGAAATGTCCACTTAGTAGGGATGTCTGCTTTATGGTGATAACAAAATTCATGAAGTGTTTTTATGTCCTTGGTACATGTACCATCGTAGCCTGTGGCACAGATTGAACTAAATTTTTGGCTGAATCTGTCTGCGAAACAGTCCTACAATCCTTGTTCTGGGCTCCAACTGTACACCAGGATTTGAGCATGCACCATGATTGACCTGTTGAGTGTGCCATGATTTCAAATACACGTAGCTGCCATTGCAGACCGTAATATATAAAATTCCTACAAGTCGTTTTAGCTTTAGGGATCAAAATACAAAATAGTTATCAAGGTGCAAAGAAAATCATTTTTACAGCTTGCCCTTCGGGCAAGCTGAAGCTAGCATTTACTAGCCCAGACGTCATTTCAACTAACCCCAAAAACGTTTTGTTCTTCTGTTATTCAAATTTATCATAAAACATCACTTGCCCGTCGGGCAAGTTAAAAACAGAATTCACTAGCCCGATAGCAAAATCCACTAGCCCCGGGCTATCGGACAGTACTTTCTTTGCAGGCTGGTTATCCTTACTTTCCATGCATTCTTCTTTTGTTTCATAGTCAGAGTATGTCCGTGATTCCGGCTTTGAAGTAGGCTGTATCAGGAGGATTGTGTGACTCTATAAAGAAACAAAATGAAAGAAAGCAATAGACCTCTTTAGCTTGTATGTTATGTTTTCCCAATAGAGGTACCAGGGGAACCTGACCCTTTGTCTTTTCATAAATTATGCATACAGGCTGAGGCAGCGTGGCTGAGTGGTTAGAGTGCCGGACTTGCAATTCGGGAGCCCTGAATTTAAGTCCCGCTCTGACAGCTAGCTGGATTTGTTCTAGGCAGTCCTGAGTTCAAATCCTTGACCACGCTTGTAAATAACCAACTGGTTTGCCTCTGGGCAGCTGGGAATCTTAACCCTGTTAAGTTCAATTTGAATAATTTGTTTCAGGTGTTTGCTTGGCCCCACTAGCATTAGTGCTATAAATACTGCCAAGGGTAAATAACGGAATTATTATTATAACAAATGCCAAGAAAAAGACGAAATTTGAAAGAAACAGTTCTCTAAAGTATTATCACATGACCTGTACTGGGAAAACAAAACATACAAACTAAAGAAGTCTATGAGCATACAAATGTAAAATAGGGGCTTGACGCAAGTAAGAGGATGATAAAAGCCATATTACTATGAATGAGGTGCAAGGCATGCATGGAAAACTCCAGGGTCAAACCATTAAACACGCCACTCAGCTACAAGATTACTGAGACTTGTTTACCCTTTAAACCCAAAGATCAAACTTTGAATTCTCATTTGTTGCCCCTATTCATTTCCCACAGAAGTAGTGGGAAGAAGTTGACAAAATATCAAGCAAGTTCATCTTGTGTGATCATGTCCTTAATCCTCATGACCACTCTGTTTTACAAAGCGTTGATATTACAAGGAGAAATTTGATGCTGATCACTCTTGGGGCTTAAAGGGTTAAGTGACCTAAGCAACTAAACATCAACATCCACTAACCAACCCATCAACTAACTTAACACACAGCTTGATCAATTCGAACGATGTCTAATAGTAACAGGTTAAAGTAGTCATTTATTCTTTGGTTGTTCCCCTGACAATTTCATGAAGAACATCAAAAGAAGAGATTATAAGTATTTACAAGTGCTTCTAATATTAGTTTACTTAAGACAATCTGACAAATTATTAGGTGAGTTTATGTCAATCCGGTACGCTTTCGTTTTCTCTTTGATCTTAGTGATTTTAATACCTTACATAATGATACTGACGAAATTATTGTGCTTTATATCCTTTCCTTGGACATAATCTGATAACTACGGTTCTGGGAAATGATCGAACAAAGCACCCAAAACAAAACAATTCCATCGCAGCTTGCTCGAAGATTCAATGCAATCGTGACTCAATACAAGTTTCATTTGGGCCTGTGCGCTGCAAAACCAAAGCAGCACACTCTACCTAAAACTATGATAGAGTCTACCAAATATTTCACTCACCATTTTCACTGAAAACTTGTAAAATTGAGGGAGAAGTTTTCTGTCCAGACACGTGAACTCTCTGCTCGGCGCTTCTCTTTGCACTTGGTTTCCATATATGGAAAGAAAACTCATCACGCAGGAGAAACTGGGTTCTAGTAATTTGTCCAATCAAATGTGATGTTAGAAAAAGGACCTCTGTTTGAAATTCCAACACAAAGATCGAGTGTTCCTCGCGAACAATTCAACATGGTTTTCCAGGTAAGTTTTAAATTACTTGGCTTTTTTGAGAATTTGTTTCGGTACGATTTGACTTTAAGAAGTGATTTATATTTCTATAAGGTGAATATTTCCTGTTGCAGCGTTCACCGGTGCGAAGACACGAATTTGACAGTTCCGACGAAGAGGAGAATGATGCTGTTGAAAATCTCACACCTTTACAAATAGATTGGTAAAAGAAATTTATTACGGTATTCAGTCAGTATCGTAATTGGTTGTAATGCTCCATTCAAGCCTCTTAAAGTCAGTTTGTGTGCATATTGTGATGTTATCAGCATGAATGAATCTGCCTCTGGTTGGATTTCTCTACCTTAATTTTTGTAGTAAGCTTACTGAAATTTACTTACTTTACTTTAAGTAACGGACACCCTAATTAATATGTATATGACACCCTGGTTTAACAATGACATGACCGCCAGTGAATTTGCGAATGCAACCAACTTTGTAAACATTCATAGGGGTGTTCGTTTATTAATAACTTGGGAATTAAGTAGTCTATGAATGTTTGGTCTAGAATCAGGGATCCAGCAAACTTTGAAAAACCAGATGTGCATGTACAGTTAGCTGCATTAATTTTCACCCTGCTCTAGACAAGGAACATACCATCAAGCCAGGTCAAGCGTACCCCTAGCCTCCCATTCTCTTATATTTCCCGATAAATGACAGATAAACTTACATAATACCCGCAAATTTTCATACCCCTACATGTACCTGTGGTGGTGGAAACCATGCAACCTCCCCCCCAGTGGTGTCTGACCCTCTCCAAAACTCAACAACTCTTGCAAATCTAGTCCTTTACCATCTACAGTGGTACAAGGATAGGACAAAGTCCAAAACAAGCTGATATTTGTGTGTTAGCCAGAAGGAGTGAAACCTATGTTCAAAGGGATGCTTATTGAGGGGTGGACGGGAGGTCTATTTGAACAATTTATCTGGCTAATGCACATCTTTACACCTGAAGAAGTTAACAGTAGGGAAGAAGTTTTTCATTATGGCATCAATTTACTACGTGTACCAGAACACTCCTTACCAGGACTCCAGTCCAAAATGAATTCTGGTATTTTTAATAAAATGACCAGGCTGACATGCAAGTATTAGCCTGGTGATTTCTTTGATTTTAGGGTAGACCTTTCATTCACTGGTTCTTGTGCAGAAGTTATTTGCATCAGTGAATTGCCAGGTAATTTTTTCTTATTTTTGAGAAGAATTTTTAATGATTTGGGTGGATTTTAATTGGGATGCAGATTGACAACAGGGGAGACTTGAGAATAGTATAGTGCATTGTAAGATCTCATTTTCTGAAACTAAGCAGTTCCTCTTCCTTCTGAGGCCACAGCTACTGATGTACATGTCATGAGTGTCACATTTAATGTTGCTAAAGTTAAACTACAGCTGTATTCGTGTATGTACCAGGGCATGGCTTTCTTCAATTCTCAAATTATGTGTGAGACAAACGGTTTTCAAATTTAGACGTGGGGCAGATGACCACCCTCTTCTAAACTCTTGAAATTAGTTTAAAGCTCAGTCAACTGCCATCATTTGTATATTACCCGAAATAAGGCACCTCTGAGCCTTTTACGTCTTGAAGTGTTAATGCTGATCGATTATCTGTTTATTGTCAATTTAGGCTGTAAATATAAGGATACAAACAGGAATTTAACTGTGGATATAGGTTTGTAAATTTGAGGCTACACTGCTTATAGTACATGTACATTATCGTTTTAGTTAGAGGTTGATCTGCCATGTAGAGAACCAGTCAAACTAAATGACTGAAGATTGACCAAAAAGGCACCCTTGGTAACCATTATCACTGAATTGTATTTTTTTTGGTCCCCTTTAGCACAACTTAAAGCAATCAACATCACAGATGTGTTTGTGTTCTGTTCCTCTGCTGAGATGATCAGGTAAGTCATTAATGACCTTACAAAATTAGTGTGTTTGTCCCCTTACTGTAGTTTTCATACTAGTGAACAGAAGTTCCAAAGCAAAAGCTTAGTAAGATTCACCAGGCAATCACTCTTTAGGCCAAATGCATGTATGCCAAGATCTTAAACTCTAAATCTGTGATTGAAATCCTTGGTGTTATTTTACTCTTTAAATTTTGCATAGTATTGTTTGAAATATCTCTTGGAAAAATTCTACAAATTAAAACACAATTTTAAGCTTTTCTTTGGCCACTTTGTAATTGGGGTACGTAGGCCGTCCATTTACAGCCACTTGGGCCGGAGTCACACTGTACCTCCCATTGGAGCTGGGAGCACTGCATGACCCCTGCCCAAGCAGCTACGAAGGAGACTAACTTAATTTGAGATAAATGAATTAACCTTTTACAATAAAACTATTTCTGTTTTCAGGTGTAGAGTTCCTCATCTGATTGATGAGTACCACTGGGCTGGCTTTGGAGTTCACCACTTCCCTGCTGAGGGTGGCAGTGTTTTAGCAATAAGCGACTGTGAGGTTTTGATAGAGCAGTTAAGGAAATGTATCACTTTTGGACACAAAACACTTTTACAGTAAGTTGACCTAAGGCCTGGGGGCAGGGGGTACTTGGGTTAATTATTTTTGCTGGGTATGTGCTGCTGGCCTCTCAGAACCCCTACCCCATTAAATTAGTCTATTCTGTGGCCAGAAGACCCCATCTTATCCATTTTTGAGGATCCCATCTTATAATTAGTCACTTTCTGTTTGTGTATCTACCTTATAAAGCCTTTTAACTTAAGCATTCTAAAATGAAGTGACAGATTTTTTAAATTGAATCAAGAACAGTACTTTTCACCTGCAGTATAAACATTCTGGTACATTTGCTAGCTGCAAATGTGAAGAACTTTCTTACCCCAAAAATCCAAAAATGTGTGACCCCATTATAGTCAACCCAGTTGTGAAAATGCGACCCTATCCAAGGGCACATCTGCATTAGCCTCTTATAAGGAAGTACTGTCTGTTGCACCTTAGAGCATAACTTGATGGTCCACTGAATGGTACTGTGTTCAGGGTCCTTTGTAATTGTTTTGAAAATATTTAGCAATTATTCCTAGAGCCTGAGTGGGCTCTGAGTCAATAGCCCGTGAGGCTGAAGGCCAAATTATTGTTCTAGTGAAATCCAACTAGTTGGTTTAAAATATCAAGACAATACAACTTTAGCTAGTTAACGCTAGACTTAAAGCCATTGTTTTGGTTTTCAAAGCCAGTTCTTTTTACTATTAGTGGGCTATGACATATAGCCTAGTAGTAGCTCAGCCAATCAGATTCAGCATTAATTGATAATAGACCATTAGTTGGATTTTACTTACTACGTAGCCCTGTGATGAAATTTACAATCATGGGGACAATGTTCACCAGTTTGACGGCCTCCTGGTAGGGCAGTCCTGGACATATTAGTACACACTGAGCGCTTTTCAAGGTACTTTATTTGGCAGGGCATTAAAAAAGGCAGGTGCTGTGTGCGTAAGAACAAATTTAGCAATTATACAAGCAGGGTAGAAAGTGGACATATCCTGTTGAGGAACTCTTGATCTCTTTAACTGCACTAAAAAATACAGACACTTGAATGCTTTCTTGATTGCTAATCTGCCATTTTCTAATATTTTTATATATTTTTCATTCTTAGCTGTGTTTCTGGTTTAGGAGTTTCTTGTTTAGGTAAGTGACAACAGCTGTTAATGTGTTCATTGAGGCTGCCTATGTTTGAGAGAGTGCCTATAAAATATTGGCATTCAATGGCCACCCACCCATTAGTCCAGATTCGAATTTGTCATGGCTGCTGAATAACGCCTGCAAAGACTTATTTATATAAGGTTAGCCTTGACCTAAAGTAATTCACAAATACTGGCAAGATGGTGTCTAAATTTGAGTTTAAATTGTAGACACAGTTGTAGAAGCTAAGGTCTTCTTCTGACTAGAATTTGTGAAATATTTTCCTTAGGTTTGAAGGCTTACCCTAACCAACGAGACTTCAGTGCTTCTTTTCAGTGGCCCTGATGAATTAGAAACTGGGGTATAAAATTTTTAATTTGATTTTCATTTACCCATCTTGAAAATGTACTTGCCAACAAAGAAATAATTGCAAATTACACTCTGAAAATGTATGTTGTGGTTCAAGTATTTTTAAATCAATTTAAATTTTTCAAACTAATTTGAAACTTTTAAACACACCACTCATTCTCATTTATTTGTGCTTCTGCCTGTAAAATACTCTGTGTAAAATAAACTTTTGCTTTTAAGGTGTCACACGTCACACATTCATATAATGGCCTCACAATCTGTTTTTTTTTTTTGGTTTCTGTTCTGTTCAGCTGCAGCTGTCTTGTTACTGAGTCTGGATGAATTCATGTCCCCTGATCATGTCATCTCCAAGATGCGACAAGTAAGAGGTCAGCGAGCCTTTCAAACAGTAAAGGTATGATAGCTCAAGCAAAATTGTTTTCTCTTACTGTATTAATTAACGCCATAATCATTAGCCAACATGCCAAAAAAAACTTAACCATTCATTTTTTTTATAATAAAGGTTTCACTGATCTAAGTCAGTGATCAAGCGACTTACCACCGGGATAACTCAGTAATCCACTGATGCCCTGTTCAGGGGGGTGGAGTGGTAATAATCTTAGTTCTTCTTATTACTGAAACTAGAATAACCTCCTTTGGTCTTCGTTTGCTCAGAGTGCGTGTTTACCTTTTTTAGAGGGCAGGGTGCTACACTGTAGGTTTTAGACTTCCCGAGGGACCTGACATTAAGTGTTTTGTTATATCTCTAGACTTTCACTTCAACAACAACAAAAGAATAGCGACAGCCATAATTATAACAACAAAATTTAATTCTCAAAATCCTGCCTGAATGAATTAATCATTTACAAACTAAAGTACTTTCCTTATATTATCTGCATCTTTTTTTCTCCACTAGCTGCTGTTTCTCTTCTGGAATAATTTTAAAAATCGTTGCTTTTTAGACCTTTTTAGCTTGAGTCTTTCATGTTTGTGTTGTTGTGTTCATTCACAAAAAAGAAAACTGGCGGTGTTTTTCCACCTTCAGTTGTCACGCCACTTTCCACCATGCTTTGGTCATGTGCTGTGATGTATCCCGAGCAGGGTACATTGCTTAATGTATCACGATTGGGATACATTAAATTTTGATTTTAGTCAAGGCTACGTGACCAAGAATCAACCAATACCAGTCCCTGTTTAGTTGAGTGAAAGTCTAGGAATAATGTTATTTTCACCTGTAAAGATATCGTAATAATGTTTTCACACGAAAGCTCACCTGGTATTTCACTAGTGTTTGTATAATAAATGCCAATATCTAATAAATAACATTTTCTTAAAGTTTGACCATCGTTTATTAAGGATGCCAACAATCATAGAAATTGGTTTAATAATCGAAATTGTTCCTGCTGAAAAATGCGATAGGTTCAGGCTACCTTAATGACAGTGACTGAGTTTTTAGTTTGTATATGTTGTAGTTAATTTTTTATATCAACTTTAAAAGAGTGTTCTACCCCTGAAGAATATGGGCTTACCTCTGAAGAATATAGGTACTACCCCTGAAGAATATGGGTACTACCCCTGAAGAATATGGGTACTACCCCTGAAGAATATAGGTACTACCTCTGAAGTTCACAACCAGTGAAGAATATGGGTACTACCCCTGAAGAATGTGCATACTACCCCTGAAGAATATGGGTTTACCCCTGGAGAAATTCATGAAAATTAAAGCTTCACCCCCAAAGAATTCTATATTTTTTTGCTCTACCCCTCCCCCTCTACCGCAATGTTCATAACTTACCCCTGGAGAATTCCATGGTTCTTAACCAGGGGCGTGTGGATATTAAATGCAAAATTCAAAGCCCTAAACTATTTTACTCAGAAAGCTGACATTCCAGTGTCCTTTTAAGAGTCAAAACTGGATATTTCCTTGTGTTACTCTCCACAAAGTTCCACAAATGTTAGAGCTTTATAGAAGCTGCTGGGCTTGTGAAAAAGCTCAGTCTTGGCAAAAGGTGTCTCATGCTTAAGCTTTCTTTGAAAAACAAGTCACGCCTGTTTGTTGCCCGTATAACAACCCCATTCCTAGTATCCCTCCTGCTCCACAGGGACAGAGAGGACCCTGGGAACGAGGTTAGCTTTACAAGGGAGTTTTAGCCCCGTGTGGCGGCCATGTTGGTGGTCAAGAACAAAAGCATTTTTCTCCTCTGGGAACTAAACTCTATTTTCATGTAAATTCTTCGAGGAAATATTCTTTTGTTTTGACCCCCAAGATGGCCGCCTTTGCCACGTGGTTGCAAACCAAGAATTGAGGGAAACCCTGTCTCTAATGTTGTCTTTTTCTTCCTTCAGCAATACAATTTTGTCCATGAATTCCGTGATATGTATAAAGCTTATCAAGATGAGCAAAGAAACTCTACAGAAGTGGCAGCTCCAAGGTCGCTTTTCGAGATGAACTTGGAAGTTATAAACTCTAACATCATGATATGTTGTGTTACCATACAATTTCGAAATAATTTATCATAGTTGAGTTGAAATCCCTGCTTTTTATGGTACTGAAATAAGTATTATTGTAATTGTATATATGGCACTGGAATAGAGAAAAATTATGGGATAACATATCAGCCTAGTCATGAGGACGTTTGGCTCAGTCAAACTCTCCTGTGTGTTCATAGTGGAGAGTTTGCTTACGCTCAATAGATATTGTCTACCTTCTATGTCTATGCCACTTACAGAACTTTTAGTTCCAAGGAATGCAAATGCATTTCTTTGCCTCAGTTAATATAAGTAATATAAAAACTGTATGTTATTAACAACAAAATTATAAGGGATGATACCCCCCCCCCCCAATCCACCTACCCCCAGTGCCTCGTTCAACATTTGGAATACCACCGTATGTAGTGATTTTTATCATATAATAAGTTTGATGTTAAAATTTTAATAGAGCAAGTCGTATTTGTAACATTATTACATACATATTATTATTCATTCAAAATATTTCCCCGATTCTGATTGGCTAAAAGCACATGCATAATTCACCATAACCAGTTTCTGATGACCAAAAATGGAAGAATTTTGTGTTTAATGCGGAAATGACGTCAAAAATGCACTGTTCATGCAGGTTAAGGCACCGTTAACCGCGAGGCTGTGAAAACAAAAAATGGCTGACATTTCACTCATTTCAAGAGTAAGAACTAGCGAAAAAATAGCTAAAAAGATGGCAAGAACTGCAAGAAGACAACACGAAGGGCGACATCTACTATTTGGAGAATATTTGTGGAGCTGGACAAACCTAAACGTGCACTATCGAAGGATCGATGGAGGTAAGCATGTTTTAGCAATGTTTTTAAACTAGGAATTATTTTGAATGAATAATAAAACGATTATTGAATTCGGCTTTCGTACCATATGAACAATTATGGAGATCTCGGAGGGTTTATCCGCCTCGTCCGGATAACACCCTCTTCGATCTCCATAATTATTCACAAGATACTCAGCCTCATTCATTAATTGTTAAATAATGCACGTTAATATGGTGTATCGTTCGTGTAGCCTTTCTAACTAGTTCTGCTTTTGTATATAATAAGTTTGTTCATCAGAAATGCTGTTGCAATAAGAAATAGACCTAATAAAATATGTGTCACTAAAACTATTTCGACTGCTTAACCTTTTTGCATTTTTGTTTTCTTTCATTTTAAATTTTCATAATGAAAACTGCGCTGAGTCTTCCTACTTCCATCCGCATTACTGATGAGCGTAGTACCCGTGATTGTTTGATTTAAATGAACCCGAAAATTCAGAGGTCGTCCCAATAATTTCACGGTGGTACTGGTGACAAAAGTCTCAGGACACTACAAATGCAATAATCTTTTTTTTTTTTTGATGCGGGGGGGGCGTGGCTTAAATTCATTTTTTGCCTTTTAGGGACCAGTCTTTATTTATCGCTTGGTGGGGGAAGGATTTTAGATGGGATCACTAGATTTTTGGGAGAACAAAAGGGGGAATCAGTCATAACTGAGGGCCCAAAAGGGAGGATCGCTGAAAACTTTGGAAGGATTCAGAGGGTCATCACTCAAATTTGCTTGAAAAATGAAGACAGGGGAGGGATCGTGAAAGTAATCAAAAGTTATTAGGGGGGATCACTTCAGCGAAGTAACATTCAAAGGGGGGATCAGCTAAATTTCTCCTTGTTTAGCCCCAAATCCTCCCCCTGGCAATAAATACTGACCAGTCCTCTATAATCTGTTATTAATGGTACCATTTCTCCAAGAACAATTCAACCGGTGCTAACAGTTTTTGAAAACAACATAGACAGATGAAAGTTGGGTAACAAAAGAGTTTCCAAAGTGGAAGGCGGGAAGCAGTATTTAGGGTCCCAACACCCCTAAATTAAAATGTACTCATCATTCTAGAGGTTTGACTACTACAAGTGCATTAACCTGAAGGGTTGCACTTTTTAATTTAATTTAATTAATTTAATTTCAAAACTTATAAGGTGTAAATATCTATATAAATATATTCAAATGCGCCACTTTTTATGTGGATTGTAACACTTAACTGGATAAAACGTTACAAGGTTGTGATGTCAAAAATACCTTACCTAAGAGACCTTTCCCACTTTCCTGTCAACAAAGGCATAGAGTCGAGGCCCGGGTGGACATAATACAGTGATTTGTATGAAATTGTGCGCCCGAGCCTCGACCTCATTTTTTTATGTTTGCTCACTGGTGTGGAATGTGGGAAAGGTCTAGTATTCAATTCAATTCTCATTATTTCAATTCTAAAGGATATTTATTAAGTTCTTAAGGCCTCATCTATTCGGAGAAATGTTGATACCCCCTACCAAAACAACACTGGGCGAGTCAACTTTTCATAAAATTCCTTTGAAAACGTGGCTTGCCTAGAAGGGTGACCCGCCTAGCTGGGTCACCTTTTTGTGATGGTGGAGTCATCCTCTTACATCGGCCAACGTTTCTCTATATAAACACTCAGTCAAAGCAAGATAGTGTAGAATTCGCAAATGCTGTTGGCTCTCGCAAAGTTGCATGAAGGGGTCAACTTAACTCACATAAACACTTGCTCCAGTTGACTTGGCTGTTGTGATAATTTTTGGGACTTTCAGAAAAATGATGAGTTAACCCCTTGGAAAAATCCGATTTTTTTTAGTAAAGACAGGCTTTTTTTTATCGAGAACAGCATATTGTCTAAATTCTGGCTCTATTTCAAACAAAAATTTAAATAAAAAATTGTGGAATTTTTTGGCCAAAATCATGGGTTAACCCTTTTGGGAAAATCCAATGTTTGGGATTTAAATAAAGAACATTTTTATAACAAAGAAAGGCATCTTTTTTTTTTTTTTATCTAGAACAGCGTTTCCGTCAAAAATTGGCAATTTCTCCATTTTCTACTTTTAAGCAAAATACGCCAGGAAAATGTGTTTCAAGATATTCTAGAAAGAAAAAAAGTCTTTCTAGACTATGAAAGCAACAACTTAAAAAATTCGAAAATTGGGTTTTTTTGAGGAATTGCGAATTTTTCCATTTTTTTATTTTAAGCAATATACGCCAGCAAAATGTGTTTCAGGATATTCTAGACAGAAAAAAATTTTTCTGGACAATAAAATCAACAACTTAAAAAAGTCGAAGAAAGGAATTTTTCTAAAGGGGCTAGTCCATAGTTTTGTTCAAAAATTGGCAATTTTTTTTTTGGCAATTTATGATATTGTAGAAGGAAAAAACGCCTTTCGAGGCTATAAAACCAAGAAGTTCAAAAAGTCGAAAAATTAACATTTTTCCAAAAACCCATGGTTTTGGTCCAAAAATAGCCATTTTTTCAACTTTTTTTTTTTTGGCAATATAGGCCAGAAAATTGTCTTTTATGATATTCTAGAGACAAAAAACGCCTTTCTAGGCTATAAAAACAACAAGTTTAAAAAAGTCGAAAAATTGACATTTTTGCAAAAAAAACAAGAAGTTCAAAAACTCGAAAAATTGACATTTTTCCAAAGGGGTTAACCCATGGTTTTGGTCTAAAAATGGCCATTTTTGCAAGTTTTTTTTTTAGGCAATATAAGCCAGGAAAACGTCTTTTATGATATTCTAGAAAGAAAAAACGACTTTCTAGGCTATAATAACAAAAAGTTGAAAAAAGTCAAAAAATTGACATTTTTGCAAAGGGGTTAACCCATGGTTTTTGTCCAAAAATGGCCATTTTTCCAATTTTTTTTATTAGACAATATACGCCGGGAAAAGGTCTTTTATGATATTGTAGAAGGAAAAAACGCCTTTCGAGGGTATAAAAACAAGAAGTTCAAAAAATCGAAAAATTGACATTTTTCCAAAGGGGTTAACCCATAGTTGTGGTCCAAAAATAGCCATTTTTTTAACTTTTTTTTTTAGGCAATATAGGCCAGGAAATTGTCTTTTATGATATTCTAAAGACAAAAAACGCCTTTCTAGGCTATAAAAACAACAAGTTTAAAAAAGTCAAAAAATTAACATTTTTCCAAAGGGGTTAACCCATGGTTTTGGTCCAAAAATGGCCATATTTTCGACTTTTCTTTTTTTAGGCAATATAGGCCAAGAAACTGTCTTTGATGATATTCTAGAGACAAAAAACACTTTTGTAGGCTATAAAAACAACAAGTTTAAAAAAGTCGAAAAATTGACATTTCTGCAAAGGGGTTAACCCATGGTTTTGGTCCAAAAATGGCCATTTTTGCCACTTTTAGTAGAACGAGATAACGCTTTTCTAGGCTATAAAAAGAAGAAGTTCAAAAAGTCGAAAAATTGACATTTTTGCATGGTTTCTGTCCAAAAATGGCCATTTTTCCAAATTTTTTTTATTTGGCAATATACGCCAGGAAAACGTCTTTTATGATATTCTTAAACGAAAAAACGCCTTTCAAGGGTATAAAAACAAGAAGTTCAAAAACTCGAAAAATTGACATTTTTCCAAAGGGGTTAATCCATGGTTTTGGTCCAAAAATGGCCATTTTTTCAACTTTTTTTTTAGGCAATGTAGGCCAGAAAATTGTCTTTTATGATATTGGAGAGACAAAAAACGACTTTCTAGCCTTTAAAAACAACAAGTTTAAAAAAGTCGAAAAATTGACATTTTTCCAAAGGGGTTAACCCATGGTTTTTGTCCAAAAATGGCCATTTTTCCAATTTTTTTTATTAGACAATATACGCCGGTAAAAGGTCTTTTATGATATTGTAGAAGGAAAAATGCCTTTGGAGGGTACAAAAACAAGAAGTTCAAAAAATCGAAAAACTGACATTTTTCCAAAGGGGTTAACCCATGGTTTTGGTCCAAAAATGGCCATTTTTTCAACTTTTTTTTTTAGGCAATATAGGCCAGAAAATTGTCTTTTATGATATTGGAGAGACAAAAAACGACTTTCTAGGCTTTAAAAACAACAAGTTTAAAGAAGTCGAAAAATT